CGAGTTACTTTATGTAGATAGTAACGAAGTAGTGTAATATATTACTTTTTTTAAAGTAATACATTTATAATTTGTAGTTCAGGACCATGGACAATGCAGCTTCCTTGCATTGACAGTTCTCTGTGCTGAATTTCTGCTGAGTTTCCTTTGCCTCATTTTTAATGTTGTGACCTGTCTGGTTTAAATGAGTGTGTTGCTGCTTTGATGAAACCTAATTTGATAAAGTTTCAAATTAATTTCTGAAATATTTCGTTAATAAATATTTCACGAGTAATATAGTTGTCTTTGTCACATTTTATTTGGCATTAGTAAATAATTATGCACATTTACAGATATTTTACATGATATGAGTGATAACACGTGTTATAAGGGCTATTTTGCACAATAGGTGTGCCTTGAGATGTTTACTTGTCCTTTGGTGTGCCTTGGGCACAAAAAGTTTGGGAACCACTGCTCTAAGGTACATTTAGAACAGATCAAAAATGTGCGATTAATTTGCGATTAATCGCGATTAACTATTTTAATCGACTGACAGCCCTAATAATAATAAAACAATTCTGAGTGTGTGGGTGATTGTTTGAAGTTCTGATTTATAACATTGCATTGGCAATTAAATATAAAACCCAATAATTTGTATTGAAAAGGGGAAAATTATTATTTGTTGGCCATTTTGTTCCTGTAGCATGTGAGGCTGCTCATTGCACATCACTACATGAAATAGTATGATAGTCCAGCATACAATTGTTTACTTTTCTCACTTTATCGATTAAGGGGTCAACAATGTGGGTGTTACTAGAGCAAAGGTCACAGAAAGCAAAGCTATTAGGGACATAAATGAGAGTCCGACTACAAAACTAGATTATGACTCAGGCAGTTTTATCTGATACTGATCCCCTGAAGGAAGAGGGCAGGTGCTGCCGTCGGACAAACCAGAGACCCCATCGCCAAACCTCTGAAGGTGTTTTGGTCTCTGGCTTTGTTCCAGATGGGGACAAAGACAACGTGTGCAGACCTGGAACCAGCTCAAGCGCACAAAGGAGCAGATTTCATCAGACAGACTGACATTTGAGAATGTCCTCACCAAGAAAATAACAGCCAAAACCTGCTTTTTCAACAGTTTGAATGAAATCAACTTCACTTACTTGAATTATTACATTCCTTGAATTACATTTCTTCAAAAATCCAAAGTATTGCCTTCCTCCGTTTCTTTTCTAAAATGACAGTTCACAACAACATCACACATTCAATTTGATGGATGGATTTCTGTATACAAACATACAACAACCGCCAGGAGACTTCATGGAGACTTCCCAACGCCTGAGCTCTTTCTGGTCACGCTCCAGCAGCTCAGAGGAATATGGGAACAGGTATCTGTATAAACAGCTGGGACGCAAACAGGCCTGCACTTCAACAGCTGCTATTGATATGGATAATGAAAAAGGGAACAATACACTGGGATATATAAACCCACACACACACACAGTTTCTGAACAGATGCTGGCTGGCAGGTTTGAATCCATTCTGTTGAATAGGTGAGTCAACACCTTACACTCTTGTCAACAGCATCACTGTGTGTGTGTGTGTGTGTGTGTGTGTGTGTGTGTGTGTGTGTGTGTGTGTGTGTGTGTGTGTGTGTGTGTGTGTGTGTGTGTGTGTGTGTGTGTGTGTGTGTGTGTGTGTGTGTGTGTGTGTGTGTGTGTGTGTGTGTGTGTGTGTGTGTGTGTAAGCTTGAGTTATGTGGTGCTTACTTCCCACAAAATACACATTAGATCTCTAAATTGAGAAAATATTGATCCTATGTCAATTGTTTATCCATTATGTCAACATGTATTGCCCTTCTTCAAGGATTGGATCAATAAAATCATTAATTCAGTTTTCCAATTTCACTTTCTTTCTTATTTTCCCCATTGCAGTGAATAACCCTGAAACATGTAATTACACAATTCAATAAACTAGCAATTTAAGTACTTGATATTACATTATTATTATTTAAAAGAACATTGAGGAGGCAGCCGGAATTGTAAGTTACTTTTGCAGAGTTTAATTTGAGTGTTTTGAAACAAAGCTGCGGTGTGTTCAAACTCCAAAGCTAGAACAAGCCTTCAGCTATTAGCATGAAGATTGAAACTGCAAAGTCTGTCAACAAATAGTCTTTGAAGAGAGCCTGAGCATTTTAACTAAGAATGATTTGTTGTTGGATGCTCTATTCCCAGCGGAGTGCGAGTAAGGGGACAGAATAGAATAAAATGATAAAATAGAGTAGGATTGAGTGGATGAAGTCAAAATAAAGTATACAGAGAGAATAGCACAAAGTAAAGAGGAATAGAAGACAAACAAAAAACAGAACAGAGTACGATAAAACATTAAGAGAATAGAAGTTAGAATAAAAATACAATGAAATAAAAACGAATAACACAGAATAGAATAATTTGACTAAAGCAGAACAGACAGACGAAGCCAATTAAACAAAATAAGGGAGGGTGAATCGCTGAGTCGTACATCGTCTCTGCAGGCCAGAGGCGTCACTTCTCATCCTAATTACTCTTCAAGCACCGATCCAGCTCTCATGATAAGCCTACAATTATCCCTACAACCTCAACTGATCAAAATCTGCTTAAAGCATGCAATCCCTTTAAAAAGTATGTGTTAAAACTCATCAACTTTAATTGGAGCGTGATACTTAGCTCTGTAAACTGTGAATCCGCTGCACGACTTGTAACTTTCCTCCCCCCTCGAGATGGGGCTGATTGATGAGTCATGGAGAAAGACTAATGGGCAGGCAGGACATACATATTTGATAAGAAAGCAATCTTTCATGTAATAGCAAATGTTGTGAACCAGTAGCTCAGTTTACGAGCAAGTAAGGATTTAGAATGTTATGTAAAGTAACTGTTATTCTGAATATCTGTGTGTAAAGGCTTCCTTGTAGGTGAGTTGGTTTTTTTCAGTGCTTTTCATCTGCAATTTCGAAAAAGGCGACATTAGCTCACAGTAAACAGCAACGACACTTCAGAGAGTCCAACAAATGTTTCATTGTCAGATCAGATAACAATAGTATCACACTTTCACACTACTAGACTACAAATAAAGTGTTGTGACTATATCTTAGTCGGTTGTGATGCTATCGCAGTGATACAATCTGTCCAAGTATATACAGAGAGACAGAAATAAACAGCTTCTGTGTTCCCGCTGAAGTCTCCAGCAACACTTTGTATATGATGGCACACACAGAATCTCACGATGAACACAATGCAAGTATAGCTGTTGTTGGTAAACACAGGCTAGGTGGGTTAGGTTCTCTGTAACCCTTCATTACCAAATGACCTACAGTCAAGAGCAAAGGTGGTTGAGAGTGTGTTTCAGACCCATGTGATGCTGAAAGTTACCAAATCCCAAACCCAACTGGTAACTTTAACCCTAGATCCAACTCCAAGAGCCTTTACAGAAATAATGACAACCTGGACATCTCAACATTCTAAAGAAATGTCCTCAGGGGCAAAAACTTGAAACTGCTCTCATAAAGATTGACATAGAAACCATAGACTGTATATATAAAGATAGACACACACAAAGATCAGGTACAGAAGAGATGATGATATATCGTGCAGTTTTTCTACAAATGTGCCACAAGCTTATTTTTTCCAGTAGCTCATGTAATTTGAATTCTTAAGTCGTACAACTTTGACATCACACTGAGCACGCAATGTGATGCAACTGGCGAAGCTACAGAGTCTTAAAAAAAGGGACTTGTTCGATGTGCAACACACTGCAACAGTGACTTAAGTTTGGTTTGCATTGCCGAAGCTCAAATCCCACCAGGAGGCTCTACCTGAGGCTGCTCCGTCTTCACTGTGCTGTGGATGCTTTAACGTGCTGCATCTTAAACGGTGGGCTCATAAAAACTCACTATAACTTAATCAACACGCAAAAAAATGTGAATTACACAGAGATTTTTGGTCATCTGTTTGAATTGCAAATGGTAACTTCCCAACAGAGAGGAAACCAGGAGGTATGTTGGTCAGATTCTCCCTGCAGTTCTTCCATTACAGACATTGCCAACTAAAACATGGGGGGATACGTTTCAAATTCCCCCAAATGTTTTGTATTACATTACATGTCACTTGTTAGACGCTTTTATCCAAAGCGACTTACATACATTCAGGACAATCCCCACTGGAGCAATTTGGGGTGAAGTGTCTTGCCCAGGGACACAACGACATGCTGACTGCAGTGGGACTCGAACATGCTACCCCCTGATTCCAAGTCCAGCACAGTATCCACTGAGCCACAGCCTCCCCAGCCTTGTATGCTTTATGTCACCATATTTCAATCTGTGTCTCGTCTTCTTCTCTCTGCACGATGTGTAATTTGCAGCCATGACTCACAGAGCATCAGGGCACAATGAAAGCCAGAGTCCCAGTCCATCCATCATGAAAACACTGAGGGGGGGTGATGTCTATTTTCACATGTTCCTGCATTCATTAAGCCAGGAGCATTTTAGAGGGAAGGAGATTGCCTGTGGAATGGAGTAATTTCTTGCCCTTTATTGAGTTTTAGATGATATGATGAGGAGACCGGTGCATTAGTGTGTGGGGATTGAAAACATTAAAATAACGACCAAAGAAACTAGAAAAAGACAGCTGCAAAGTGACTCAAGATTATTACTAAAAGACTTAAAACAACTTCAAGGGGTTCAAGATGACTGCAAGAGACTCTATGAAGTGACTTAACACAAGTTCCAACATGACTACAAAGTGACTCAAGATGACTACAAAGTTATTAAAAAACAATTACAGAGACTCAGGATGACAGAAAGAGACATAAGAACTACACGGAGATCATTCTGGCAACAACTGTACCCAAAATAACTACAACGAGAGAATTAGAAATACAGCAGTTTGTGTCTCTTTCTCACATGTAGTGTGTGGGGCGTTTAGCATGTATGTCCCCGGGGCCCATCCTCTCATAACCCACTCATAAAGAAAGCACTTTTCTCTTACCTTTCTGTACACGATCATGTTGGGGGAGTCGTCGTCGGGGTCCACCGTGCTCATGGACCTCATGGAGAGCAGAGGTCGGGGCGGGGTCGTGTGGACGCTCTCCTTCGCTTCTTCTTCAGACTCTTCATCAGCCTCCGTCTCCTCCACAGAGCTCGGCTGCTCCTCTTCCTCCTCTTCCTCCTGCTGCTGCTGAGGTGCCTCAGCCATCTCTAGCTTTCAGTCTTCTCCTCCTGCGTCAGGTTATACTCTCTTCTTCACCTGCGTCAGTCTCTCTCTTCCCCCGATCTGTATTTCCTTTGTGCTCTCTCCTCAGTGTAGAAGCTGCTGTTAGGAGAAGAAGAAAAATGAATTAGACACGACTTACGACCGGCTTCAGTCATCCATCTCTCTCTTCTTTCTGTCTTCTGTCAGCAGGAACAGGATGGATGACATTGGGGCCTCATAAATTCCCTCTTTTAGTTTTCTCTGTTATCTCTTTTCTGCAATTCTTCAAGCTCTGCTGTCGCATGAGATTGAAGAGACGGGAGAAGAGAGGACATCATGTTCACTTTTTGCCTTTCTTTACAGCTTCTCAATGATAGCAGAACATAACAAGCTTATTATGCTTATTCAAGCACTTACAAGAAGGAAATAATGTACTTTTTAATATACACAATACAATGAATCATGCTTATTTTTGTATATTTATACTTTTTATAAATGATACACATGAAAAAGGGACATCTGAGATACATGCATCTTAATTATTTACAATTCAGATTAACAAAGCATACACAAGTCAATCTCCTTTTAGTAAAACGTAAAGAGAAACCAATGACACAGCAACATATGACCCTGTTCTGTAGACACACACACAAACACACACACACACACATCTGGCATCCAATAACTCGGGGCTGTCTGGCTCTTTTCTGATGAAAGCTGTCAAAATATTGACGCCGGAGGACAGATGAGCTGAGACGAAGTGAGAAGAAAAACAACAACAAAGGAGAATAAACTCCGGACTCTACTTCCTACATCCATCCATCCAGGACTTTCTGCTTTACAAACTACAGCCCAACATATTTCATCCCAACCATAACTAGGACCAGTTATCACTTATCTCATGCTAAATAAAAGTACACAACTTCCTTTCACTTATTTCACTCATCTTCAGCCAGCTGGCTTCCTTACTGAATAAATACAACACCACGAATAGGCAAAACATGGTTCAATTGTAAAAAATAATTGTTGGAGATGCGTTTCATTCCTTTACTTGCTCCATCTATTATCTCAAACCACACACATAAATAATCTAGTACCAGCCTTGTATTGTACAGTTTACAATTAGAAAATACTTCTTTATGTGGCAGTTTGTTGGAATTGCATCTAAAATCAATTGTAATTGATTGAGCACATTGTCGATGACATCTCTAATTACATAATATTCCAAACACGTATCTTACAATTGTATTCCACTTTAAATGATTTATCATTGCTGTAAACTTCCACTTGCACAAACACATAAGGCGCTTTCGCACCGGAGTACTTTTACCCGTATACTTTTCCCGTTTAGTTCCGATAGTGCCTGGAATTTTGCGTTCACACCAAAGAGAGAACTTCGTTCAGAGAACTTTTACCCCCATCTGTAGTGCCTGCTAGAGAGGTGGGACTATCCTGGGGAGAAAAAAGTACCAATTTCTATTGGCTGGGCGAATTGCAAACCACGCCCCGTAAAACTCTGAAAGGTTTTTTGAAGCCGCCATTGTATTTGCTGGCATTAGCATTATTAATATTAGCCCTGTGCGCCAACGCAGAGAGACTAACTTATGGCAACAACAACAAAAAAACATGGGAGCGGTGGAGATGAGGAGGTGTCGGCGTTCTGGCGATTTACTCGGAAGGCTTCAGACTGAAGCCAGTCCCCAACTCCGGGGACTTCCGGCCGGGGACTTCGGGTGGCAGTATACGCCGTGAAGTGGTTTGCGGCCTGCCAGTAAACCCAAAGCAGAAGAAGAGGAAGAAGTGACGTCAGCGGCTTCATTTGCGATTCCGGTGTGAACCGTTCTTATTATACACCCATGGTGTGAACGCGGTCAGCTCTTAGTTCCATGGGGGTACTAAGTGCTGGGTACTAAGTGCTGGGAACTAAGTGCTGGGTACGAAGTGCTGGGAACTAAGTACGGCAAAGTACTTGGTGTGAAAGCGGCTATTGAAGCAAAAACAAAGCTTCAGGTTTGCTGGCAACTTGCATTATCTCAGGAAATTGAGTAAAGCTGTGACTTAATTTCCAGTCAATTATTCCTCCACACCCTGTCAAACAGAGCCTGCCCTCTTAAATCCAGCAAGGTTAAAGTAAAATACTTTTTTTTTTAAACATCAAGATACTCACAATAAACAGATGCAAGGGGGAAAAAAGCTCTGCTTGGACCTTGACCAAGCAAATGTTTGACAAAAGGGATCCCAGAGCATTTAACGACATAAATGGAGGAGAGCATCTGTGTCCTGGCATCCAAGTGCTCATGGGAAATGCAGTTCACATTAGTAGTTCTGGAGTCTCAACATAGGAGGTTCCAGGAATATAACATATTACAAAGAGTCAAAAGAAGAAAATACAATTACTGTTTTACCCTGTTGAAAGTATTGATGCTAAGCCAGCTGCTGACTAACTGTATGTATCATACAGACAGGAGAATGGTATTAATCCTCTCATCTAACTCTCGACAGTAAAACAAATAAGACTGTAAGCAGAGGATTACAACTGCCCTGGCTCGGTCTGCAAATCATAATGCTGTCTACAAGTATCTAAACAATACATTTTAGATTTTACAGGAAGTGTTTGGCTGCTTGCTAACACTGAGAGACCAAAATATTCAACTATTCTTGCCGCCCTACACACTCATTATTACATTTACACTACATGACTCTGTGGTATTATGTACAGCTGTTGAAAATGTCCAACACAACATGCTCCACTTTTCAAAACTAACTTCCAATGCTGCCTGGCTGTCTACTCAAAGTAGAGTAGAACACTTTGATTTATCTGTGATTTGTGTGTGTGTGTGTGTGTGTGTGTGTGTGTGTGTGTGTGTGTGTGTGTGTGTGTGTGTGTGTGTGTGTGTGTGTGTGTGTGTGTTTAAAAATCCAAGTAGGAAAAGAGTTTAATGCATTTCTGAATCAACGGCTTTCAACTCGCATTCTTCATTATAGGCGTACCATCTGCTTCGCGTGTATTCCAGCTCTGAATACATAGAGAAATGCCTGATTTGTTTCTCAGTAATGCTTAACTTCACAGTCCCCTCGCTACACGCTGCTTCTGGAATCACATGTAGCCGGCATGGGATCAATAACTCCAACATTCGTTCTGACTCTTTATTTTGCATTTAAATGAAATGTTCAGGGTGAATACGCTCCTCTGATCACTGATCAGCCTTAATCACAACATGATTCAGTGATTATCTGATGAGATGCTGTGGTCGCCCTAATGGATTTAAAGTAATAACTTCATCAGGTGTGGTCACCTTGAGATAAAGCTAGAGGGGATTTAAAGTATGTTTTCTTACAGAGAAAGCGAACCAGTGTGTCTTCAATCAGGATAAACACAGCAGATCCAATTTTTATTCTTAATTGAACTGATTAAGCTTTTTTCTTCTTATCCCATGCTGTGTTGACAGGAAGTAGATGCAGAGTGAGACTTCTCGCTGTGTGTCCCTGTGGACCCTCCACAGTGCCACACACAACTAAAGTTTTTTCGAGCCCCCTCCCCCATCCTCTACTCCAGATGAGACTGGCTGAGGATGCCTGAATGTTTTACGCTGAGTGCTGGTTGTAAAATACCATCTATCCAGCAGGCAGCCATCTTTTATGCACAAGGAGGCATAATGATAAACCCAATGTGTGTGAAACCAATATCAGGGCACTCCAGTGGTTGTCATATTGTGTGAATAACCAAACTGGTTTGTATAATTTGATTTTAAGGAGACTTAAAAAAAGAACTAGAAGAACTTGACATGCCCAAAAAGTGACCTGAGACTTGGATCAGATTAATTGAGTCTCGCATCTCGTTACACTACATACATAATTACACCATATGCTGGATCATTGAGATGACCCTCAACAGAAACTGACATTAAGTAGGCAGGGGTATCTCAAGACTTTTGACAATAGCTAATAACTCTCCAAGTTTGCATAGTTCAGGTTTGATGAATGGTGATGTGACACATCTCCATAAAACATCTGTTTGAGGTTTCTCACACACACACACACACACACACACACACACACACACACACACACACACACACACACACACACACACACACACACACACACACACACACACACACACACACACACACACACACACACACACACACACACACACACACACACACACACACACACACACACACACCACACACACACACACACACACACCACACACACACACACACACACACACACACACACACACACACACCTACAGACACACTTGTATTTTTCCTTTTCATGCCCGGTAGTTGCAGACTGTAGCATGCCCATTATCACCCAAGTAGTGAACACACTGACACAAAAACACACACACCTTCATTTCAAACCTGCAGCCCTCAGAGTGTCACTTAACTAAGTAGCCAAATGCTCCTTTCAATCACAGGTGGGATTAACATCATCACACATGCACGCACACATACATCTCATACATGTACAATACTGTAACATCCCACATTCACCCAGCTCCTCTCTGAGAGTAACATCACAGCACTGACACTACCAACACATTAATGCGCGAATCGAAACCTAAATGAGGTCCTTTTTAGTTGAACGTTCCTCACTCTGTCCTGATTTATTCATTCATTCATTACCTCGCTGCCTCTATCCCTTGTCCCCTCTTCCTTACCTGAGCGCTGGCTTCTCTCTCCGAGCTCCGGAGCCAAAAAACCGGCTTCACCGGAGATCTGCTGCACACAGAGAGAGAGAGAGAGAGAGAGAGAGAGAGAGAGAGAGACAGAGAGAGAGACAGAGAGAGAGAGAGAGAGACTCTCTCCATTACTCAAATGCAGCGTGCGTGTGTGTGTGTGTGTGTGTGTGTGTGTGTGTGTGTGTGTGTGTGTGTGTGTGTGTGTGTGTGTGTGTGTGTGTGTGTGTGTGTGTGTCAAACAGAGCCTGCCCTCTTACATCTATGGTTAAAGTTAAATATTTGTTAAAACATACTCACAATAAACAGATGTAAGGACAGACTTAAATGTGGTTGAAAGAAAGCTCTGCTCCATAGCTGGACCTTGACCAAGAAAATGTTTGACAAAAGGGATCCCAGAGCATTTAACGACATAAATGGAGAGCACCTGTGTCTTGGCATGCAAGTGCTCATGGGAAATGCAGTTCACATTAGTAGTTCAGTCTAAACGTAGGAGGTCCCATGAATATAACATATTACAAAGAGTAAAAATAAGTAAATACAGCACAAACAACTCTTACTGTTTTACCCTGTTGAAAGTATTGATGCTAAGCCACTTATGCAGCTGCTGACTAACTGTATATATCATACAGACAGGAGAATGGTATTAATCCTCTCATCTAACTCTTGACAGTAAAACAAATAAGACTGTAAGCAGAGGATTACAACTGCCCTGTCTCCGTCTGCAAATCATAATGCTGTCTACAAGTATCTAAACAATACATTTTAGATTTTACAGGAAGTGTTTGGCTGCTTGCTAACACTGAGAGACCAAAATATTCAACTAGTATTGCATTTTGCCGCCCTACACACTCATTATTACATTTACACTACATGACTCTGTGGTATTATGTACAGCTGTTGAATATGACCAAATCTATATTTGATGCAAACACGACATGCTCCACTTTTCAAAACTAACTTCCAATGCTGCCTGGCTGTCTACTCAAAGTAGAACACTTTGATTTATCGGTGATGCAGAGAGAGTGTGTGTGTGTGTGTGTGTGTGTGTGTGTGTGTGTGTGTGTGTGTGTGTGTGTGTGTGTGTGTGTGTGTGTGTGTGTGTGTGTGTGTGTGTGTGTGTGTGGTGTGTGTGTGTTGGAAAGTATTCTTGTACTTTCTTTTGACATACTTGTACTTTACTTGACTATTTTTTTACATGAATGCTACTTGATGGACTCTTGGGCTGTGACTCAGATCCATTGATTTCACTGGGATTTTAGCTGAATGATATTCAAACTATCTTTTTGTCTATCCGTCTAACGCACAAATTGGCTGCCATCTAAAAGTAGCTTTCCTTAAATCTACTTCATTTATATGGTTGACTCCAAAGTTCTCTGAAAGGTCCCAATGTGTTCACTTTGATGGGCTGTCTTCTGAGTGGTTAAACATTACTAATGGTGTTCCTCAAGGTTCTGTTTTAGGTCCACTTTTATTCTCCATATATATCAACAGTTTAGGTGAAAATGTGGATGATGCTACTTTACATTTTTATGCGGACGATACCGTGATGTACTGTGCAGGTCCCTCCATTAAGGAGGCTGGTGTTAAATTACAGGCTGTTTTTAACATTATTCAGACTCAGCTTGCTGAACTTAAGCTTATTTTAAATGTTGATAAAACCAAGTTAATGCTATTTACAAAAGCTAAAAAGACACCAGAGCCTGTTTTGGATATTGTTACTATGTAAGGACAAGTACTTGAAGTGGTTACCTGTTATAAATACCTAGGTATCTGGCTTGGTGATTGTCTTACTTTTAAACTTCATGTCAATAACTAGCTTAAAAAGCTGAGGGTTAGACTAGGTTTCTTTTTCAGAAATAAGTCCTGTTTCTCTTTTGAAGCCAGGAAAAGGCTAGTCACTGTGACCTTTTTACCTGTGCTGGACTATGGTGATTTGATCTATATGAATGCACCTGCCCATTGCCTGGAATAGTTAGATGCTGCCTATCACAGTGCCCTGAGATTTGTTACTAACTGTAAAGCACTTACTCATCACTGTACCCTGTATGCCAAGGCAGGTCTGCCTTCACTAACTGTACGGAGGCTCAGTCATTGGTACATGTTCATTTACAAAGCCATGTTGGGTAAACTACCTTTTTATATCTGCTCTCTGATCTCTTGACGAATTGAAAGTACTTATTGCCTGAGATCTCATGATGTTGTTTTATTAAATGTGCCAAGTGCTAGGACTGTCTTAGGGAAGAAAGCTTTTAGTTGTGCAGCTCCACTAAATTGGAACAGTCTGCAAACATGTTTAAAACTGAGCACTTTGGTTCCCCTGCATCATTTTAAAACTCAGCTGGGTGACATGCTGTTTGATACTCATGGTACCTGTCACTGTAAATAGAGTTTGTAAACTGTACCCTGTACATTATGTTGTATGTCATCCTTATTGTTGTTCTGTTGTTTTTATGTTACATGTGTAACTAATGTCCTGCAGGTCACCCTTGAAAAATAGATCTTTTGATCTCAAGGGGCTTCACCTGGTTAAATAAAGGCTACAAACAAACAAAGTCTTTATAAATCTTTGCTCTCCTCATTAACTTGTTGAGGTCTTACCCGATTGAAACTAAAAAGAAAATCGAATGCATGTGAGGTTGACAGGTTTGTTGGAGAATAAAGATTGAGGTGAACTCGCAGTTTCTTAGCACAAACTTTAAAGCATTGTTTCAGTCAGTGCCTTTAGTAGAGGTTGCATGATGAAAGGAGCTCATTATATCTGGATGGCAAAGTCATTTTCTAAAGATAATGAGTTTGTTATTCAATTGGAGAAAAATAAAGATTCCAGGGTTGAGATAAGAACAACCAGGTAACCTGAGATGCTTAATTATGTATCCTGAGATAACGGGAACAAAAATCAACCTTCACCAGCTTCTAAATGGCTTTTATTTTATTTATTTATTTATTTAATCGTTTATTTGGCAGGGGCAATGCACAGTAATGAACACTTAAATATTTCAAATGAATAGAGAAAATCACTTTGAAACTGTGGAACAAATGCACTCAGAAACTTTGTAATATCCACTGAATGGTCAAATATTAGACTCTTCTCCTTGTGCGACAAAACCAATAAAAATCTCATCTAATATTTGTCTTTTCCCCACATTCACCTCTTTCTCTGTTCCTAGCTCAGTATAAACTCTCCTTATTTCTCATGTTGAACATCTCCGAGGCGGCAGATCAACTCTGAGCTGATGAAAACGTTTGGCCGCGCGCTGAAGCACATCAAAGTATCTGATGCAATGATGTACTGAGGGAGGAAACTGGGTACGTACTGTAGTTAGAAGGGATTATACTCCTCTCTCTACACTGTACAGTGAGGGGATTCAACCACAGATCACATTCAGCATGTCAACTCACAGCTTGTTGACAGAGGTGTGGGCAGTTTATTTTCACTGCTGCTGACTGGGGAGGCTAAAAATATTAGCTGCCCTAATTCAAGTAAAAACAACAGGGTGCTTCAAAAGCTTCAAAAGCCAGTTTTCTCTGTCTATCTCACTGTCATCTGACGTTTAATGTGCAAAATGGAAAAATGGACGCCGATATGCTCACAAATCAATACATGCACTTACCAGCTAACTGTCGTCAAAAACAACATTGATACTAATGGAGCACTCTAGCCTGACATACACATACACACACACACACACACACACACACACACACACACACACACACACACACACACACACACACACACACACACACAACATGTCTACTACAGTCTCCACTCTGGACCAACTGAATTATTGAGTAACAGTAAACAGGAAGAGAAGATCCCACTGGGAAGTCTGTGTGTGTGTGTGTGTGTGTGCGTGCGCGTGTGTGTGTGTGTGTGTGTGTGTGTGTGTGTGTGTGTGGTGTGTGTGTGGTGTGTGTGTGTGTGTGTGTGTGTGTGTGTGTGGTGTGTGTGTGTGTGTGTGTGTGTGTGGTTGGAAGGGAGTTGCCCCACTTACTCTTCTCAGGACATGAACTCACACAAATATAAATGTCCTTAAGAAAGCTATTCACAAAATGATATGGGCCAAGTCTCTATCACAACATGTACACAAATAAATGCGTGGCTTTAAATGATAACATGACTCCTACCAAGCCCCTTAGTGAGCCTGAGAACATTTGCTTGAAGATAAAACAAATATTTGGAATTCATCCGTCCATTTTCTGCTACTACTGGGTGGTGGTGCAGTTACAGAGAAAGCAAAGTAGCCCAGATGCCCTTCTCCTCCCTGGCTCCTTCCTCTACCTCCTGCTGGGCGATCCTGAGGCGTTTCCAGGCCAGATGGGATGTATAATCCCTCAGTGTGTTCTGGGTCTGCCCAGAGGAAATCCTTCTAGTTGGATGTGCCTCCACAGGGGTCCTGCAGCACACAAACCATTTTAACTGGAGCCTTTCAAACGCAAAAAGGAGCTCTGTTAGACATCCTGCATATGGGAAACTCATCTCAGCTACTCGTGACCTACATCTGAAGGATGGTGGAGAATTAGGATGACAAAGTAAAGAGTGTATCAGAAGAGTGAACTCTATCCAGCAAAAGAAAGGGGGTCAAACAGGTGTTTTTGATGGCTTTATCCTGCACTTCATTTCACTTTATTACCAAAATAATACAATTCTGTAGCAATTTTATCAGATTAAATCTACAGAAAGCATTTTAAATGATTCTAGTATCAAGTGTATCAATCCCTTTTTTAAGAGGGATTCAAAGTGCTTGTTAATAGACAAGTCAGAGCTTTTCACAATGCTTCTCCTTGTATACAAAGTGACTAGTGATTAGTGGAGATGACAAAGTGTGTGTCATTAGGAGAGTCTGCTGAATACACAGAAATAGTGATGCATGCAGACAGTGTAACATGGACAGATGAAGGAACTGTTAGCATCTGGAATGACAGCAAACCTCAAAGCCTCTAAAGAACAAAACACCTCGACTTTTCTCTGACTCTTTCCTTGAGTGCCTGATAAGAGCAGAGCAGAGACATGAAGCTGTGTGTGGGCTGCTGGAGAGCGTGGGATAAAAGCTTCAAGGGTCCGCACACACAACACACACGAGGGAAAGAAAAGGGATGACCGGTAAACACAGAGGTTTTATTTGCCCAGTCACATGGCAGCAGTCTAAATGGAGATGAAGCCAATACAAGTTGACAACCTTCTGATATACAGACTAGACCTTACTCTCACATACATATCTCAAGTCAATATGTTGTGTGCTCTATACAGTGATAGTGACAGATGTTTTACAGCATTTCTTTTCAAATACTCTCATGGTTTGTGATGTTTTCGGTTCATTTATTGTAGCTTTTCCAGGTCAGATTGTTGTTTCTGATCATGACAACAAAAAGTCTTAAGGCCCTGACACACCAAGCAGTCACCAGAGGACTCGCTGACGCTGACGTCGGCTGTTGCCTGGCCGTGTTCTCCTGCGTCTTGGCCATGTGTCGCACGGGAAGACACCGCAAAGACTTCAGTGCGTGAGTGGCAATAACTCTCCTTACCAGCAGGCGGCGGTAGTGTGTATTCGTCATTCAAAAGAGGCAACAACCGGAAGACAGAGAAGAAGAACAGACCGTGATATAAACAACAACAAATAACTTGTGCGTTCCATTTTCCCTCTCGTCCATCGAAAACATGTTTCGTGCGGCACTGGAGCTATCAGCCATTGCAGTGTTACTTGTGGAAGACATTCTCAAGCAACAGTCTCTCAAGAAGCGGAAGCGAAGAATTAGGAGAAAACCGCACCTAAATGGGTTAAGGTCATGGTTACGCTGCGATTTTTGGCAACAGGTATGCAAGCTAAGATGTTGCTATATTTAATATGAATAGCAGTCTGTGTGTGCCTTCTTCTTAAAATCGTTTGTTTACGTCCCTCACTTCCGTATCGCTTCTCATGCACTGATTCGCTAGCTGAACAGCCAATCAGAGTGATTGTTTGGTCCGACTGCCAGACCCGATCCATGGCCGATTCAACATGTTGAATCGGCCATGGATCGGGTCAGGCAGTCCAAATAAGGCGTGTCACGGTCGACGGTTCGGGACACACCAAATTGAGTTTGGGCGACAGGACACGCTTCGTCTCCCGACTTACGAGAACAGCCGATATCGGCTTGGTGTGTCAGGGCCTTTACATTTCTAATTCTACTTACAGTGTAATGACTCTACACCATGTTATCTGTTGAATTTATTACATATACATTCTATTGATCACATTGGAGTAACTTAAATCAGGAAAGCGACTTTTGAACGATTGACAGAAATGTTTTTATTAAATCATTTGATATTGACTTGCCATTTTGAAATGTTCTAAGATTGGCTAAACACTACACACTTGAGTCTCACAATATTACTGTTGCGCTACTGTATTGATTCTCAACTTTGAATCGTTTGTTACCATGCAAAGATGTGTTGTAGACAGTGGCAGCAAAATAAAAAGTTAAATCTAAACAGTTTGGGTCAATTATGCTTTAAAACTCCTGTGAAAGATGTGTAATCGTCCAATCCTGCTGTGAGGCTTTCTGCTGGATCAGCACAGGATTGCCCTAACATGTAAACACAGACAACTTCAACATGTTCAAACCCAAAATAACACATTTAGCACTTTGCAAATAAACTCTCAAAGGCTAAAAAAGACCTAGCCAGGCTCCAGCTCTCTCTGATCAGGCTTTAATTCAGGCATCACACACTTCTCTCCGTAGCCAAGCCTTGAAAGGAACCCCAGGTGATTCAGCCCACTCATTTTTCACCTGTAGCAGAGATGACTAATCTGCAGCCTCCCCTCCTCCTCCTCCTCCTCTCCTCCTCCTCCTCCTCCTCCTCCTCCTCCTCCTCCTCCTCCTCCTCCTCCTCCTCCTCCTCCTCCTCCTCCTCCTCCTCCTCCTCCTCCTCTCCTCCTCCTCCTCCTCCTCCTCCTCCTCCCCTCCTCCTCCTCCTCCTCCTCCTCCTCCTCTCCTCCTCCTCCTCCTCCTCCTCCTCCTCCTCCTCCTCCTCCTCCTCCTCCTCTCCTCCTCCTCCTCCTCACTTCTCCTCCTCCTCCTCCTCCTCCTCCTCCTCCTCCTCCTCCTCCTCCTCCTCCTCCTCCTCCTCCCCCTCCTCCTCCTCCTCCTCCTCCTCCTCCTCCTCCTCCTCCTCCTCCTCCTCCTCCTCCTCCTCCTCCTCCTCCTCCTCCTCCTCCTCCTCCGCCTCCTCCTCCTCCTCCTCACTCCTCCTCCTCCTCCTCCTCCTCCTCCTCCTCCTCCTCCTCCTCCTCCTCCTCCTCCTCCTCCTCCTCCTCCTCCTCCTCCGTCCTCCTCCTCCTCCTCCTCCTCCTCCTCCACCTCCTGCCTCTCCTCCTCCTCCTCCTCCTCCTCCTCCTCCTCCTCCTCCTCCTCCTCCTCCTCCTCCCCTCCTCCTCCTCCTCCTCCTCCTCCTCCTTCCTCCTCCTCCTCCTCCTCCTCACCCAGACTGCAGTCACTGCCTCAAACAGCCTGAACATCGCTGCAGGAGGACAGGGAGCAGCACAGGGCGAACCAGGTCACAAACAAACCCATCAGATAGATTTCTCTCAGCCTTTCCCCCCAAATTAGGCAGACATTTATTCTTCAACAGTTGCATTGGTTAAAGCCTTATTTGAAGTGATATTTTATTTGTAAAATATTTACTTCTGGGGGAATCTAGGCAACTATGTTATCAATGTGTTGGTATTCATTTGGCAGCTAAGAATACAGGCAATTGTTTTTCTTGCGCTCACGTTGAGTTTAATTTCGGTAACACTTTATTTTGATAGTCCATAGTTAACACTCTACAAGTCATCAGTTGACATTCAACAACACTGTTTCAACAGACAAGTAACATGCATTTCACTAACTGCCAGTAGAACATAATGTACATCTCAAGTGTTGATCTATAGATTTTACAAAAAGTGTCTGTTGACTGTCAACATGTTATTAACCGATATTCAACCTTCCTATCTGTAGATTGTGAGTTCTTGTGAAAAACCTTCTCAAGTGAATGCATTAGGCTTCTGTATTTATCTTATATATTAGTCAAATAAAACAGGAACAGGTGTTTCTAACTCAAACATTACATTCATAAGGAATAAATAAAGTTTGTGATCAGTTGTGCAAAACATTTCGCTTTATTCCCATGTCTGTTACATATCATTAGTGGATGAATGTGTTCTGTTGATAGGTTATAGACTTTCTACTGTTCTCAACTGTGTTTCACTTTAATTGGATAGTCCTAACACATGCCTACAAACGCTTAGTGGAGAACCTACTAAAAGTATACTGATAGTCAACGATCAAGAGATAGTCAACTAAACTCTAACGTTGCTTATCTGTTGATCACCAACTAATGCTTAATGTAATCTTTAGTTGACATCTTGACTCTCAACAGAGTATCAACAGATAGTCGACACGACCCTGTTGACTTTCAACTGACAGATTGATTTTGAGTTGATTGTCAATTTTGAAGATGTTGACACAATATACAGATAGTAAGGTTGAATATTGGTTAATACGCTGTTGACATGCTACTAAATGTCAACTGATGACTTATAGAGTGTTAAATATGGACTATCAAAATAAAGTGTTGCCGTTTATACAACTAGTTACTACACAAATAAACGAGTTACTATGTGATTATGGCAGACCTCTGGCTGGTGAAATCCTCCATTGTTTAATTCCCTGCCAACAAAAGAGACGATTAACTTATTGTCGTTGTTTGGTATTAGCCAACAAATATCTTTGTTGTCTTGATAATAAAGGAGCAAGGATGTTTTTGTCATGGGGATTATTTCTATACTTTCTGTTAATGTGTAAAAAGTAAGCATCCAAGGTCATTATTGGTTGTGGAAATAGTATTGGACAAATATAACAAAAATCAAGGTACATTCAGTAGTCTTTTATAACTGCATCGCACTAAATTGAGTTTACTCATAGATGGATGGACATGTGAGCTCAGTAGCTGTAATCCACTGCACTTCTAGAACAGTTGGAGCTTGGTAATATCATGTAAAACAGTGATGCAGTGTTGCACGAGAGTAATTCAGGCTGAGCTTTTCAATAAGTTGATGTGAACTCTAGAAAAAAAGAATGCTATATATGTTCCTATCTTCCTTTTCAATCCTGTCTTTCTGTGTGCCGGAAGTGACCACTGCTCATTGGTTGTAGAACATCACACACGATAGAGAGGAGTTTGTGTCTCCGGCTGTGAGTTAAAGTGCAATCAGGTGAGTCAGAGAGATCAGGAACAATAGGAGCCCGGTGGAATCTAGGGGTGAAGCGAACAGTCCTGGTCCCAGACCTGCTCACTCTGCGGTTACTCACCGTTCAATACTGTCAGACAACGCTCTGCACGAAACATCAAGTAAACCCACTCTGACGAGAAGCTGTTGTCACTGTCTGAGAAAAAACATTATGACAAATGATATTGTTGTCTGTTCACCACGCAAGGCTGGACACGAGCAATAATTGAAGATCAGAAGAAAAAAAACAGCTGTTAATTTACTTTTGAAATTATTTCTTTTTTAAAATGATTTGCAAATTAGGTGTGTATTTGTCTGGCTTTATGGCAATTAAGTTCTCAATAGTGGATTCATTAGAAGCAAAAACGTGTTTAATATACTGTTATATCACATACCAGAAAACACATCTTCAATATGTTATATCAATTTTCATAATATGGCGTGCTTCTCTCCAGCATATCTATCACTATCCCATTGTACTCAATGGTATGGCAAAACTGCCAGAAGTAGCTAAAATAAGCCTTTAAGATTTGTGCTGTAGCTTTCTAATTTATAAGAAGTATTTTAGTTTGTATCCTTATTCTAATCTGTACTCAAAAAGTAAGCTCAAGATCATTAAAATATGTAAACAGTACAGATCAGAAACTCACAGAAGTCAACAACTCCACAAATTGATACGGCATTTATTTATTTCAGAAACTTTAATACTGTGATCACTGCAAATGTCTTTTTCATACCTTTACATTTTACAAAGACAATGGACCCAGGATGTAAACAGCATTTCTAGTCTATCAAACGCTTGGTCCTCTTGAAGGTTGTTTCCCTCCGCTCAGAGCCGACCACTTCGCGGGTTAGTTTGTTCTTCCAACGGATCAGCTTCGTGGAACCTTCCAGCAATCACCAAGCTCTCAGGCTGGAAATCAGCATCCCTCCAGAGAAAACAACCTCCAGCCGGCTCCGTCTGATCAGTGAAGCTTGAGGAAGAGGAGGGTACACGTATTGAATAAAGTCAAGCACCTTCCTCTTGTCAGCTGGCAGGAAAACTACGGAGCAACACCAAGACACGACGGCACAGGAATGGATCGATTCACCTTTCTCATCCAAAACAACACAACCCTTTTTATAAAACATTGTGCAAAGATTCTTAAAAACAAATTACAAAATGGAACATTTGAACATTCACATTTCCCTCTGAAAAGCACCAAAAACAAAGCGAACGGAACAAAAATATGTACTGTGAAATAACATCTTTCGCTGGAGTCACTGGTTTGTTAATGTCTTTGTATAAGGTGGACAAATGTATAACATCCCACTCGATGCACACTTTTGAAGATGCGAGCAAAACATCTACTGCACAGTTCGTCATGTGGCCATACTTCATTTGAGATACAAAAACTAGAGCACTTTCCATGTACAATAAAATACCAAACATTAGCCATCATTTAAGCGAACTGTAGCTCTGAGCAATTCAAAACTTCCACCTATATATCTCGTTATATTGTGTGTAAGGATTTCACATTATTGGATGACTACTAGACACAACTGGCCGACTTCTTAAACTGTTAAAACAACTATATAATATCACCAAGCAAAACTATTGGGACGTTTCTTTTATAATCCACACAGATTTATATGAGATTCTTAAAACAGAACCGTCTTTTGTTGCGACTTCACTCATGACACTGCTAAACTACAAAGCTGAATGTCAGTTATAGTAAACATCACATTTCTTTAGGCTCGTTCATATTCTCTTTACATTCAGACCGGGTGGCGTTCTGGGTTTAATTACATCGATTTAAGACACAAATTTACCTTTAAGAGACTAAAAAATTGAGATCTTTTTATCAAACGTTTGATAGCACAGGACAGGGAAGGAGTTAAGGCTTTAACACCACGTTTGTGATCAGCATTTCCAACATAGACGAGCTGAAGTAACCCCAGCATGCACCTGGCTGAGAACGCTCCGTCTCCTCGGGGTGTAAGTGGCTTTGTGATTTAGGGGGAACATTTCTATCAACACACTTATTACAGGGGCCAGCTGCCCTGAAAGATATACTGCATGTAGCTGAATGCAAAGGCACACACACCGTCACACTTCACACACACTCGTCCCTGCGTCTGGAGGCTTGCGCGCCTGATTGTGTTCGGTACAAATATTCAAACGAAGAGAAGCCTCGCACTACAGACATTTATGAGGTCTACAACTGTGAGTATGAAGCCGATTAAAACTCAAATGTGTTTATTTTTCGGGATGAAAAAGACGAGCCTTTCCCTTTCATCTGTTCCCCAGGTGCTGTTTCAAAGGCACGTCCCTGCTCTGAGAAAATGACCAACAGAAGTGAGTGTAGGCATGGCTGATGTACATTCACACACTGACAACACACACTGCCACTGGCTCATCATGGGGCTTTATAATCTCACCATATCATTACTTTTCCTACAAATACTGAACCTGAGGAAAACTATAGATGTTAAAATGCAAAACACACCTACATACACACACCTAAGGTTTGGTTCCTTTAATCTAAAATCCACCTTTGATTGTCTGTCAAAGCTGGCGTTTGTTTCCTGTTCTGCGTGTGGCCTCCCGATGTCTGACTGATTGTTGGAGAGGCGTGGGGAAAATACTGAGTGACTGGCGGCACATTTAATAATCATGACATTTCCACTGGTCATCACTAGAGGGCACTGTAAGCAACACGACAGCAGGCTTGGGCACCACAAAACACAACATAATACAGAATAAAAAGCATATAATCAGAATTGAGAAAGAAAGCCATTTAAATAATATAGCTAGTGACCGTTTTTCTTGAGGAACTAAACACTGATGTCAGTTGTACTTTGACGAATAGAACAACTTATTTGAATTATAATACAATGAAATAAATTAACATAGGGGGAAAAAGTCCACTCTTACTTTTCCCTCCCAAAAAATGTCTGTCATTACTGGCTCTGTGTATTCCAGATGGGACGCTGCGCAGAGTCCTCTCCGTCCTTTTTCCTAAAGCATGATGTCTTCTGCTTTAACAGAAGAAGATGGAGGCTCTTGTGCAGCAGAGTCTTTTAAGTGTAACCTTTAAAATATCTCCTCCCATGTCTCCCTTATTCTTTTATGAGAGAGACAGGAGTCTTCCTATTGCTTTTAAGACACATACAATTTGGATGGACCAAAGCACTCTGGATTTCAGTCATGTTTGATGGCACCACTTGCCGATGGCTTATAAATACACTCCTCCGTCAGGCGTGGGATTGTGCTGACAGACAGGATGCAGTAATCCAGATCTGAGGGACGAAGAGGAGGAACAATGCTGTACAAATCCACGTTTCCCTGGCGATCAGAGGCGACCTGCTTCCATGTCGGTGGCTGAACTTCCACCATGACCCTTCAGTGGTGAGACACTTTAGGAGATGAAACTTCTTTACATGTGAAGACAACAAAAAGCTCTCCTTCGTCCAGTCAGAGGTCTTCAGGCTTCGGATTCATTATAGGTGTTTGTGTTACAGCAAACGCCAGCTGGCAGATTTGTCTCGTAGTACCTGTCGGACTCCGAGTGGCATTTCAGAGACGTCTTCTCTTAAGTCACGTGGATCTCTCTGCGACCCTCTGCTGTGGCACAAACACTCTCATCACCTCAAAGGTACGGTCCTTAACAAGAGAAACACATCGAAGTGAGAAAGCATTTCAGGAGGGGGGGGGTCCACATCAGGAGGAGGTAAGGCTGACCTCTTCAGAAGGAGCAGGGAGGAGGAGAGCTTCCTCTTTGTCACTATTTTATAAAATGATTTTGGCACAGCGTAGCCTCTGGTCCCATTGGAGAGGAGAGGACAGTCCCTCACATTGACTTATTCTCATCCTGAGGCCGCTCACCAAATATCAGCTGTTGATGTATGAAGCCAAAGAAAGATGGGCACATAATCACGTCCAGGTTCTTGTGCACAGCTTCTTCCCCTCTGGTCTCTGCCCAGTGTTGATGTGTGCATTTGTGTGCGTGCGTGCTAGAGTTAAAGTGTGTAGGGCGGGGGGGGTCAGTTCATGTCGATGGTGTTGAAGACCCACTCTGTGAACTTCTTCAGCTTGGTGGCGGATGTCTGCGACTCCTCCTGCAGCCTCTGGTTGTCCTCCCACAGCCTCTTGACCTGCCCCTGCAGCCTCAGCTTCTCCTCACGCTCCTGGAAGGGAGGATGGGGGACATTTATACAATTGAAGCAGTTTTTAAGCAGTGCAACCACTACTATTTAGAGATATGTATGGCTATTTTACTTGCATGCTTTGGTTACTATAACGCTTTATGAACACACAGTTAGTTATACAGTTTTGTACATTTAACGTTTTTAGACTGTAAGTGTAAATATGCACATTGAATTTTATCTCGTTGCACTGTCGTTGCTACCACCTCTGTTTTTACCACTCTTATTTATTTATTTGTGTCTATTCTTTACTGCAGTGAGAGTTGCCAAAGACATTTCGTTGTACTTTGTATGATGACAATACAGATATATTCTATTCTATTTAGAAGAAAACAATATTGTCGTGACTGAAATGAGTGTCTTACAAATCAAATCACTCAATATTCAACATCGTCACCATACTCTGTTTAAATATAATGAACACTTTAAGTTTAGTGTTTACATAAAACGTCTCAGGTCTGCCGGCATTGAGTCGCACAGTAAGAAGCTTTCAGATTTGATCACATGACAGTTTGAATCTGCTAAAAGCACAACAGAACATACATTTATATCCAGTTAAAGAAAACAATGAAACCCTCTGAGTTGTGCTTCTGGCTTCGGGGTGGTTGAATGAAGTGTAGCATACTAGTTTCCCAGTAGAAGAGGTTTGTTTGTGGAGCCTTTTCTGAGGGGATGGTTGAAAAGGACAGAGGGTGCTGTACGCTGTACAGACTGTAAAACCCCCTGAGCTAAATGGTGATAATAGTAAATAAAATCTGACTTGACTTGAATTTCCTGGTGTCGAACTGATCTACCGCTTACAACGGGAGAAATGCAGACGGGTTAATGCCTCCCAGTATTTCAAAGATAGCAGAGAATTTACTAAGAATTGCGTAAGAAATAAATCACAACCAGACTGCAGTGTTTTTGAGAGGGAAAAGTCTTCACTGTTTAGAGGTCAAAGTAGTTAAGAGGTGACAAAGTCTGCAACTAGCAGATCAAAAACATCCAACTTTTAAAAAGAACGTGACCAGTTTTCACTCCTTTAGCTAAAAACTGGAGGAACTTAAAAAGTGTTCATGGCGGCTGCTTTTGATATTAAAATGCTGTGTAAATATCTGCTCTGGGGTCGTCTTTTGAAAAGTAAAACAAGATTTTTATAGCATAAATGAGGCGTCAAAAATAAGCAAGAATTGTTTGACACTGGAGACTTAGCCTATATTATCATAGGTAGGTGAAACGCATCAGACACACAGACATCAAAAACAGGTCCCTTTTTAACACTCACTCTGGACACAGTGATGGAAAGTAATGGAAATGTAGACATCAGCTTAGAAAGACAGTATGAGAGGATGAGAGATCATTTGAGTAAAATGTCACTCATTCTAGTGAGTCTAGTGAAAGGTAGCACCAATAAGCTGTAGAGCAGAAACAAATAAACAGTGGCAAGACCAAATATCTATTTACATCCCCTGCTGTTCCCTGTTCCACCGGATGCAAAGAAAGCATGGACTTTCGTTCTTCATTCGTAGACAATTATCTTTTAGCACAGAGTGAAGGTTATACACATGCAGATAACATATCTCCATGAACTGCCAAAAAATACAAATCTATAAGTGCAGTAAGTGCATATGTGTGTGTTCCCCCCCTCACCTTCTTCAGGTCCTCCTGCAGCATCTTCACCGTGGCCTCCAGCTTGGTCACCTTCCTCTCCAGCCCTATGTGACCCTCGCTGGGGATGAGAGACACAGAGAGGCATCGTTCATACTCACACTCTCCTTTGTGAATCTACTTATTTCTTATGCACTTTTCTAGTTTTTAAAATGCATTTCCTTGCACTGGTACTCCCTGCGTGCCATGACAGTTAACAGCAATTTGCATTCAAAAAGGACTGTATGTATATGTATAGCTTACACGATCAAATGAATTAATACAGTGATTTTTGCAGTGGTTTACTATAGCCGCTTTCACACCAAGTACTTTGCCGTACTTAGTGCCCAGCACTTATACCTCATTCACACCTACGCAACTCCGGTTCAAGCTCCGTGCTAGAGCTTTTCAGGTTCAGAACCGGTTCTTCGGTTTAGCTCCGGCTCTTTTCACACTGCCCAGAGTCCGACTGGTGCTGCGTCATTGCGTCATCGTTTGCGTCATGACGTAACCGTTTGCGTGCCTGCTTCATAAAGCCAAACCCAACCGCGCGGAAACCCCTCAAAGCTGACACCGACAACAACAACAACAATGGCCGATTGTGCTCCAGCTTCCTCTGTACCTCTTCGGAAGACCAGATTCCCAGCAGGTAGCTGGTCTCTTCAGTGGACCACTGCTGCTTGTTAAGTTTCTCCATCGTTGTGTACAAACTGGATGAAACGCCGGCTTTTTGTTGTTGTTCAGGAGTTGATCCCGCCCGTGCCCCCGCCTCTACGTAAGCGTGACGTATGTGGTGCTTTTGCTCTGGCCGGACAATTTTTTGGTGCTTGAAACGAACCGGATTCCGGAGCTAAGAGGCTGCTCCGCTGCGGTGTAAACAGGAAAACCCGGTGCTTTTCAAGCTCCAGCTCCGAACCGGCCCTGAAACACCGTTTGTGTGAATGAGGTATTAGTGCCAGCACTTAGTAACCCCATGGAACTAAGTACAGATCGCGTTCACACCGGAATAAGTTCCCTGAGGGAAGATTAGGCAAATGAAGCCGCTGACGTCACTTCTTCTTCTTCTGCTTTGGGTTTACTGGCAGGCCGCAAACTACTTCACGGCTTATACTGCCACCCGGAGTTGGGGACTGGCTTCAGTAGAAGCTGCTGGGACTCACCTCTTGGTGTGAACGCAACATTCCAGGCATTATCGGAACTAAACGGGAAAAGTACTCCGGTGTGAACGCGCCTTATAATGAGATTAAGTAGTGATCTATGTACTGTATTTTATTTAAAAAAAGAAGGCAAATCGTTTTTAATTTGAGTCTTATTTGGCTGCAAAGTGAACAAGCTGCAGTCTTGAGGTCACATGTGTACCCTGAATATTTCCTGTGTGTGGTGTGTGTGTGTCTCTGTGTGGTGTTACCTGGACGAGGGCCGGGACAGAGGGGCCGGCTGCAGCTCGATGTGGGACTGCTGGGGGCTCGAGGCCCCGCTGCTCCGGTGGTTTGATTCTCCAAACACATAACTTCTCTGGACTGGAGAAGAGAGGAATAAACAAAGGTGAAACCAAGTCATAGTTATTTATACAAACAATAAGGAGCAGGCAAAATGCTTAACAAATTGAAAAAAGTGGAAATAATAATGAATGTCTATGCGTTATATATAAAACACATACATTGATATCCTACAATCAGGACTATCTAATCACTCTCCCTCTTGATTGACTCTCTGTTAGGCTGGTTTATATACTTGACTAAAGACAAAGTGTGCACTTAATAGAATTTGTTAATACCGTAGTGTGGGTTTCTTTCAGTCTCAAACGTACTGGCCACGTCCACCAGGTGAGTCCACTCCAGAGGGCTTTCCCTTTCCTGGCCCTGAGAGGGGAGGGGCATCAGCTCCTGAGGGAGGGGGCCGCGGTGACGCTCCACCAGATCCACCAATGATGTGTCAGATGCTGAAAGGTCACCTATAAGCAGAGAGGAGTGGATGAAAGAGCTGAATGTTAAACAACTTATTTTGCCATTATGTTTTTTTTACTCAAAGGGTAAAGGCAGAAGGTCACATCCAGAACTTAAGCCAAAAGTATTTACTATATTTATTTTGACACATGACTTATTGTGCATTAATTAACCTCCTTGGGTTGCACTGTTGTCACAACATGGATAAAATGGCCACAAAATACAGTCTTTTAAACAATGATATAAGCACATAAACACAGCTGTTGAAAGTTAATAATGCTGCAACTAATGATTATTTGCTTTATCAATCAATCTGCTGCGTATTTCCATAATTCACAGATTAATCATTTGGTGTACATAATGTCAGTCAATAGTAAAACATTTCCCGGTTTCTAAAATCCAAGTTAATTACTTTAGATCTGATGTTTTGTCAGTCCCAAATAGCTATTTTTGAATGATATAAAACAGAGGAAAAGGGAAATCCCAGAATTCAAGTAATTTTTTGGGGCATTTTTGTTAGAAAAATTACATGATGATTATTTTAAATTGCTGTAATTTGTCAATAGTCTTTCCACTTATCACTAATTTGGTCAACTACACGCTGCAGCTGTAACTGTGATGGATATATTGTGATTTTAAGGGTGCCCATTATCATCTGGCCCGGGACAACAGCTGGAAATTAGCAATGTTTACTAAAGCTGCCCCATTTACTGTTTTGTGTGACAGTTGATCAATGGGGACTATCCACGACACTATACATAAATAAACTAAACTCCAGCTGCTATACCTACTTCCACTCTTCTAGAAACCTACACACTTACCATGGAGTTTGACGCCCAGTTTATAGGAGGGCCGTCGCAGGGGAACCCCGCGGGTGGTGGGTGAGCGTGGGAGGGTGGAGCAGCTGAAGAGGAGGTCTGCACCGAGCGCCGGTTCGGGCATGGAGTCTAAGAGGGGGGGGAGGCGCTGGCCCCGATAGATGCTCTCGTCTGAGAGGGTTCGATGCAGGGGGCGATGGCGGTTCAGAGGCGGGATCTGCTGGGGTTTCTGCCCGTGCTGCACAGGGTGGGGAGGTGATGGGGAATGTTATTATATTATTACTAAAATAGGATCCAACCAAATGCAATATGTGGATGAACCCCGACAGAAAACAACCGCAGAAATACCTGTGATATGTGCAAACTAAACGTACACCTAACATGTAAGACGAATGTGGGGTAACTTTCTAAGTGAACCTGTCCTTTCGCAAATATTTAAAAGAGACACACATTAAATGGTGGTGTGTCAGGAGACGACTTCATTTGCCTTGTCCAAATTAATCCACTTTACTCATTTTAAAGATTCACTGAAATATAAAAGGTGAAGAAACCTGATTAGCAACAGTTTTGTTATTTTAGGATTTGGTTATATGTGTCCATCAACCAGTTGTTCTTGTAAAAAGATTTTGGGATGCATATTTCTGCAGGCGTACCTTTTCCTTATGTCTGCGTGGTGGTGGAGGGCTGTCGGGGGAATTGTGTCTCTTTATGTCTTCCTCCATAGTGGATTTGGCGTGAGGCTGGGGCGAATGCATATCCCGAAGAGAGGGCCTGGCTGCTGGGACGGGAACAACCTCCACCCCCCCCTCTCCTGGAGACTTCCTAATACACACACAGACAGACAAGGCCGCACAGATTAACCCTTGTTTTTCACTTTCAAAAAAGTTACTCAGATTACATTACACGTCACTTGTTAGACGCTTTTATCCAAAGCGACTAACATACTCAGTACTGTGGACAATCCCAACAGGAGCAATTTGGGGTGAAGTGTCTCAGGGACACAACTACATGCAGTGGGGTTTGAACCTGTGCCCCCCTGATCCCAACACCAACGCACAATCCACTGCGCCACACACCTCCCTCAGATGTCCTTAGAAGACTAAATGAATTGTCCAAAACACTGCCATAAAATTATAAATATTTCCCCCTTTCATCAAGGTAAACTTTTACAAACTAAATGATCCTAACTCCAAATATTCTGAATGAAAACCCCAATTAACATTTTATTTACATAACGGCACTGTTGTTTGGTAAAACACAAATGATAACACTGATAAATAATAGAGATATGTGTTCATTCAGCCTCAACAGCAGAGCATTTCACCACCAACTTGCATCCAGGTGCTGCCATTAATGTAATATCCTCTTCAACCACAAGGGGGGAATAGAGCAGTATGCATTTTCTTCCAGAAGCTATTTAGTGCAGTACAGGGATTAAGTCATGTGGGTGGATAAGCAATGGGATCAACGCAGTGTTACGTAGCATCCCTACAGTGAAAACTGTCATAGTAAAGCTAGTAATGTTCAATTCTATCCCTCTTATATACATGCAGTGATGAAGAGCAGCACAACAACAATGCTTCATCACCTCTGACAAGTTCCCAACACGAATGCAACATTATCAGCTTTACAAAAGCCAATATGGATCGAGCATTGTTTTGAATTAATTGGAGTATATTGTCCTTGTGTTAATTTTCCAACATCCTGAAGATAATGCTAGGTGAACTTCTTCAAATCCACTAGGAGCCGCTTGCTTGGAATATTGAATGTTTTAAGGGGCCACCTATTGAACCAATCTATTATAAACTTTGCCCAAACTTGTGGCAACATAAAAGCAATATAACTGTGTTTACAGTTTAAACCCACTGCCGTACTGCGAACAATAAATAAAGCCCAACTGTACTGTCTAAATTCCTCCTTACTTGCGCGTGTCTCCAAAGTCGACAGAGTTGATGGTGGATCCGGGTTTCCTCCAGCCGATCAGGTACTTGGACTGAGCTCCCTGGCGGGGGTAGAAGCTCTTGGGCCCCGGGGACGAGGAGGAGGAGGACTGGGACGAAGGAGACGTTGTTGAAGAGGAGGACTCGTCTCTCGGGGAGCTGTGGCCTGAGTGCCTGGAGCTGATGGACAAAGGGGGGGGGTTACTCATCATGGGAATGCACCACGAATAAGAAAAGCTTAAGACCCTGATAAGAGATATACAGAAGTTAAATCAACTAATGATATTTACTTAAATACTGCACCTCAATACAACTTTGTGCTTTACTATTTCCATTGCATGCCATTTCAAAAAACGACTCGACTACGCTAAGAGGGAGGCACATTTATTTATTTTTTTACTGAATTATAAGATGGAACTTTATTTATCCCCTTGGGGAAATGCAGGCGTTAATAGCAGCAACAGGGTCAGAGTTAAAAACAGGATTCACACAAGGTAAAAAATAAAGACAAAATAGAGTAAAAAAAAAAAAGAATAATGTTTTTAAAAAAAAATTCAAAAGTGATAAAGTAACTGTTGAAACAAGATATCAAAGTAAAACGTTGAGCAATTATGACAACATTAGTAACTAGATACAGACGCTTAATACCAAATATTTAACCACTCATAAAGTACTAGGGATGGGAACAATTAATCGAATACTTTTGGGAGGGATGCCTAAGTTGATTACATATTATCAAATGGGATAATTCAATGTATACGACAGTGCCATAGCTATGTGTTAGGTCTAAAGGTGTGTTTTGCTCCGCTTACCGGTCCCTCACAGCGGGCAGAGCTGCAGGTGCTGATCTCTCTCTCTTTTGTCAGACTTCACTCGCGTTTATGTCCAAATCCATCAGATCCAGCTAGTTCTAGCTAATGATATGGCTGCTGCCCCTCCCTACACGCAGATCACGCAGACTCAAACCTCATCTTATGCCCAGAGGTCTTCTCTACAGCTGGCCTGATTGTGAATCGCCTCAGCACCCGCCTCTCCCCTCAGTAGACATGCTCAGATTCTTAAACAAGAATGAGTATTGAATAGCTGCATTCTGTGCATAGGCCCTGCTATAGGTTGTTGATCTCTGTTGTAATAGGGTTACGTTACCCTAACCCGTTATGTTGTTCGTGTATGACTCCTTTTTAATTTAAAAACCAAGTTATGTTTTAAGCATGAAAGCTGTCAACTGTTCAAACTGTGATCACCAGTTCAATACATTTGACAAATTCGACTTGGTTTCTATACTTATTTGAACATGTATTTATTTATTTGTATTTGTTGTAAAAAAATGTCACTATTTTTGTATAGGATATGTACATTTCGGTGAATCGGTTAACCGTTTTTTTGGGGGTCGAATATTCGAATATACATTTGCTTTCAAATTCCCATCCCTATAAAGTACGATGCATAATTGAGTAACATATCATTATTAGGCATGTAAAGTAGCATAAATTGGCTCCGGCTTTACCATCCGTAACATTCAAGAAGTAACACATAAATGCATCAGTATTTATAATCCATTGTAATATATATTCTCTTTCGACTCCACTTCGAGCGATAGAATGACTAACAAAGCACTTATATACTAACAAAGGACTGGCTTATCTAAAGCCAGTTGAGTAGCACTTGGAATGTTTTTGCTCTGTGAAACCTGATGTACTTATATGTACTCAATGTAATGTAATGTAATGTACTTATATGATTCTGTTTTCTTCAAGTTTGTGTCTTCCTGGTCGAATGCACTTATTGTAAGTCGCTTTGGATAAAAGCGTCAGCTAAATGTAATGTAATATTATTCTGAAATAGGCCGTTTAGCATAATGAGTAGTATTACTTTTGGTACTATAAGTACATTAATCCCCCTAATCCCTGCTCTGCCACTTTAGCAGAATACAAATTCATTTTAAATGCCGGACAGATGACGGGTCGTGAACTGTAACTCTATCTGAAGCTGTGAATTAAGACGGGCTCAAACAGGAAGCGCGTGACGCTGGAGTTCTCTCGGCTGTGGACACCAGCTCAGCTGTGAAATGTTGGACACGTGTTTCACATTTCCTGAGGCCTAATGTGGAAAGATAAGAGGGAGTAAAGAATTGCTCCCGCACTCGGTTTCCAGGAGAGACATAGTCTCTAGTGTGTGTTCTTCTTGGGCCAAGAAATATTGGCGTAATGAGAGTTGGAAACATTCAGCAGAGGTCAGGAAAACACTGCACGCCTGTTTGTTTGTTTGTTTGTTTGTTCAACAGAAAATATCAAATACCCAATTTTTATAAAACTTAGTGGCAGGGGTCAAGGGAGAAGGCAATTTTGGAGCAGATCTGAATCACATGGCAAATACACACAACATTGTTCACTCATGGAAACAGCCTTGGTCTGCACAATAAGTGCTATTCTCCTTTTTTGTATAAATCACATGTTTTTTTTGTTACTGCCCAAAAGTATGTTTTCTGCTATTATTAAGAAATGATCAGATGGCTGTTATTCAGTCTGACGTTTTTCATTATATTTAAGTATTAAGTTTTAAGTATTTTATTTATTTATTCAAAAGCTTCTGATACTGTTTACATCAGCCTCAAGCAAGATACTGTTATTTTCAAGGTGAAAGTATAAGTAATGTAACAGTTGGCTAGGTTTGCATTTGCAAGATACATGTGTTACTTCATAGAGGATATGTTATAACCACTGAACACTAGAAGTTGTGAACCATACTTTAAGTCTCAAACCCACAGACTGACCTGGAGTGTGACCCGGCTTCGTTCAGGCTGAAGGTGCTGCTGTCTCTCACCAGGAGGTGAGTGGGGGGGCTCCGGCCGGTACCCTCCAGGCTCCTTTCTCCTGGAGGGCCCGGGGACTCTGCTGCAGCCGGAGACCTCTCCAGCATCCTGCGGCCCCCCTCGGTGGGGCTGTGCCACGGAGACACTGATCTCTCCCGGCTCTCCCTGCTCTCCCTGCTCTCCCGGCTCTCCCTGCTCTCCCGGCTCTCTCTCCCTCCGCTGGGGGCCAGCAGGGAGGTGGTGCTGCCGTGATGGGAGTGGGGGTGTGTGTGGTGGGAGGCTCCAAAAGAGCTGGTGTCGATGCCGCTGTCGGCCGACGCCCCCTGCAGGTAGCCTCCTCCCCCCAGGCCGTTGGGCTCCGGCTCTCCTCCCGGCTCAGTGCTGGTTCCTCCACCCGCTCCCATCTCGTACCATTTGTCGCTGTCGCTGTGGCCCCCGCTGGAGGCGGTGCTGGACAGAGTGTTACTGCTGGAGTGCCCGGAGTAAGGGCCGTCCGACTGCCAGAACAAACGGAAAGGAAATGAGTGAGGGAGAATTGTGAGAAAACATCAGTTTTTTTTTAAATTGGTGACTTTAAGATTACAATGTGACTAACTACAACAATTACATTTTTCCCATATGCCAGAAGCGATGCAGAAAAACCTTAATAAAAACAAACGAGGGATCTGAGCCCCAGAGGATGATGGGTATACTGAATGTTCCTTCTATATCAGAGTAGCACGTGATAACAGAGAACCTACGTAGCTGTGTACGTAGCCGGATGTATGTACATGGATGACGCTCATGAGGCACTGTGTTGAAGTCATGATAGCTATGTTCCTAAGATTGGCATGATGACACAGCCCCTAGAGAGATAGGCATATGACTATCATGTTTATTGCTTACGCAGGCCTTAGCTAATCTTAACTAATGTCAGAATACTGCTTCGAACCAGTATTCTTCCACCTTGTTGACTCTAACACCCTCTCTTGTATATAAGCATATCAAGGACTCTACTCTGGGAACTATTTGCCCCACGCAGCCCTGTGTGTGATGACTACTTCCATTCTTGCAAGGATAATAAATACATGTGTCCTGATATTGAAGACCAAGCCGGTGACGAGTGTTATTTTTCTAACAGTACTGTCAGAGTGGTGGTGTAAGTAAAAGTGTCCTGACCTGGCTGCCCTTCTTCGGGGACACGTGGATGACCTGCTCCTGCCTCTGGATGCGGGGAGCTCCAGAGTAGCCCTGACCCGACTTGGAGACTGGAGACTCTGCAATAAATAGACCAAGAAAACTGATGTTGGGGAAAAACACATGAACAAACCCTGAGGTACAAACAGATGACTTGTTGATGATTCAGTTGTTTTCCTCTGTGCTCACTTGGGTGTATTTTGCTACAACAGAACTCTTGCTTCCTTGAGGTTTATAACGATTGTTTTTAATCGTGTCTCTACCGTGTGCATAGAATAAACCCAGATCACTTGTCACCTAATGCAGCGCACATCAAACAGACGGCTGTTTGTTCTGGGCAGGCTGTTGACGGTGGGGTAATGTGACGAGGTGTCCTGAAGCAGAACTGGGGTTATAAATGGTACTGTTATGTAATTGTGTACATGTTATGCAACAAACACACAAAGAACAAGCAGCTAATGACCACAGCACCATTAGAGGAAGAGCTAAAGGGGGGGGGGGGTAACATCTGCTGGGGTGAATCTAGAAATATAGTGACTTCACGTAGAATATTCATAACCCTGTTTAGCTTCCTCTTCATCTCAGCTCAAAGGAGTCTGCACTAATTAGCAGTGGCGAACCGTCAGGGCCTTCAGAGAATACCCTGGAACACTCAGATAAAACAAACAAAAAATCGATTTAATTATAGAAATAAAATGTAATAAAATGTATATAAAATAAATAAATGAGAATCGTATCTGTGTTGATCTGTAATATTACAGTGTTACGTTGATTTGTTTGTCCTTCTCGGACCATGCACTACGCATTTCAGTGGTTTTGTGTTAGAAAAGAAAGCAACCAATCAGATCTTGTTCTGGGTCTCTGGGTAGAATATCCTTCAACCAAGGTATTCTACATCCTTGATCGAAGGCCCTGGCCGTTGCACTGAATGAGAGCGTACGTTTGGACTGACAGTTTGATCAACCAATCATATATTGATTTGTAGCCAATGAGCGTATTCTTTCAGAGTTTCCCTCGGTTCCAGGGTGCTCTAGAAGGCCCGCTAGTTAACTGGCTCGAGACAGAGGATAGATGAATGCGACGAAGCAATTCATGCCGTTTTATTGTTTTTAACGTTGAAGGGGCAACAGGTGAAGATGAAGTTGTTGCGGAAGTGATGCGAGTACCCTTTTCAAGACGACAATTCAGTGAAAAGACGGACATTATAAAGCCGGGGGGGGGGGGGTGTGTGTGTCTACAGAAGGTCCAGTTGTGATAGACACGGTTCGCCACTGCTAATTAGAGATAGCTGCATGTGTGCATGTCTGTGCATAATGTGACCACATTTAGTTTTTTTATTAAGATTTGTTATTGATGTGATTGTTCAACCAGATGTCTTGGTTTAAAATACATTCCCAACACCTTGGGTTGTTGTGTGCACTCCTGTGAGCATTGTTAAACTAAAAGAGGTCGCAAATCTCTGCATCTCACTATCCAATGCATGAATTAATCATAAACATGCCAGGTTAATAAAAGAAAATGAAGCACATTTTTTATTTAATAGTAGAGGAATAGACATATCGTGAATAGTTGCACCTTTAATGGTGACGTAATCCCTGTGCTTGCACCAGCGTTAAGGTTGTCTGTCAAAAAGCAGTATTTTTACAATACAGTTTTTATATCTTGGCCGAGCTTTCCTGCAGAAACACTTATTTTTGTCTCCGTTTACTTTCTTTTGTCAATGAAATTAATCACCGGGGTCTGTTGTTTTGGAGAACAGGAGACCACCGGTAATGTTTCTACTACTGGTAAAAAAAACCTCCTTAAGAAATCCTAACTGTAATAGGTTGACACTTGACAGCAATGACAAACTCACACTACTCCACAATTTCATTAAACATCTTTTGTAATTATTTAGATCGAAAGACCACCAGTGGCAGAAAACGACATATTGTGAGTTAGAGTCATGTCCCATTCGAATGTGACAGGAATTGGGATATCAAAAGTGAGTATTCTGCCCTCTACATGACTTGTGTTATTTCTGGACGGAGCTCGGCCACATGATCATTGCGCCGGACTAACGGGTCAAGGGGGTAAATGGGAGGAAGAGGAAAGGACATCATCTCAAACCACAGTTGACAGTTGGCGAGCCTACATTGTTCCACCCTGACCGATAGAGACATAAGTGCTACAAACGACCACAAAATGAGAGAGTAACGCTGTTCTCTGGGATTTCGGCGGTCAGAAACAGGTTAAGGCTGAAATTAGGCCGGTCAAAAATCAACCAGAGAAACATCCGGCTGGGATTTAGAGGAGCGGCAGAAGAGCATGTGTTTTTTGTGGCTTTCAGAGAAAACAAGAAGAAAACTCCCAGAAAACATTTCATGCGTGAACACTAAATGAGAGCCAACGTACAAGAGAATAGAAAGATGAATGAGAGGCTAACATAAGTGGCCTTTGTGAATGAGGAACAGGCTGGAGGAAGGGAGAAAGGGAAGGAAAAGCACACAAAAAAGGTTGGCCAACTGTGTTGACACAGGAAAGAAAATAATGTCTCCCCCTTTCTCTTCCTTCATTATTAATATAGAAAGGAGTGACAAGTGACAAAGGGAAAGCCATTTACTTTAATGAGATCACTACTTTATCTCAATTCCCGCATTCAATAATTTATTTTCGCTGCATCATTATCTTCCCACCTTGCAGAGACATTAAGACCCGCTCTGTGACGGCAACATAATTCACAGCCTGCAGAGGAGGTGGAGGAAGAGGAGGTGGAGGAGGAAGAAGAGGGATGCTGTCAGCACGAAAAACTGTCGCAGGCAGACGAGGAGGCACACACAAACTCCATTCACACACCTTTCTGGCTACCTGTCACATCAAAGGATTTACTAATATGGATGCGATGTGCCTCCCTCCCCCGCTATTCTAAAGTCAAGTGCCTTCATAAAACACACACACACACACACACAAAAAAGCTACCGGTGCTGAAAACATTACAATCTATTTTTATTAAGCTTACTCAATTAAATGTCCCTGTTATAATCACCTGTTGACGTTCGTTCAGCTCCTCCCCCTTCCTCCATTCTCGACCAATTAGGAGTAGACTTTCCACTGGACCCGCCCTCTCCAACCACATCTCGTCTGTCCCCGGACATCGGAGAGTGGCGGCTGCCTGCAAACCTGTTGAATGAGCAGACAGATACAGCTTTTATTCCGCTGTTTTATCAGCTAAGAATAACACACTAACAGATCATGAAAGAGATTACATTTGACCAAAGGCTGTAGTGGGTGGAAGAAGAAAAGAAAAAAAAGGGCATTTAAATATACAAAGACACCATCGCTATCACCTCACTCTCCTACACTGTTGTGTGTAATACAATGTTACAACTGTGGAAATTAATAAACCAGCGTCATGAATTAAAACTCTAGCAAAAATAGTGTTACAAAATCTGTGAATTCATTGTATTTTGTTAGAAATATATTATGCTTTATTAACCCTTGTGTTGTGTTCAAAAGCTGTTACCGTTCATGGTGTTCGCAGGTCAATTTTGACCCATGATTTATCTCAGTCCAAAACACACAAAAAAAAAACTATCATCCAATATTGTTTTAACTACATCATAACTAACTAATAATGCATTCATAACCGCACAATCCTGTTGTAATGTAATGTTATGGCCCCAAAACACATTACACCACATATTGCACACGTGCATGTGTGTGTTCAGGTTCAAGTGTTTGTGTACATATTCTTTGAGAAAGGTCGAGTTCCCGTGGGGGGAGGGGGGCAGAGGGAGGGGAGCAGTGGCGGTTCTAGAACATTTGACATGGGGTGGCAAGAGGTCATGCCAGGGTGGCATGGGAGGGCGTACAGTATGTGGTATTTTATATTGTATATAACCTTTTTATTGTTAAATCATGCCCTAAGTGTTCTTAATGCACAAGAGAAACAAGATGTTCAGACAAACAAACTCAAATATAGTATAAAACAGCAGAAAATACTCATGAATTCTGCTTACTGTAAGTACAGTAAAAGTACTTAGTTATAATTAAGTACACAAATGACATCACCCATCTCTTCAGAGAGCTACAGGTGACCTGTGCAGCAACACATTTCAATAAATATTTGTCAATACTAAGAGCCGCTAGATTGTGCTGCTGTAATGGACTATGTAAGGAGAATAAAAACATACCATGTGGTCCAGCTGGAGTCTCATCTGCCTCCTGATCCCTGCCTCTGTCCCTCTTTCTGACACTTCATCTTCATTCCTCACATACATTTCTTCACTAATGTCTTCATCTCCTCCTCTTCCTCCTGCTCTGACCCTCCTGGTCTCTTCATCTCCTCCTCTTCCTCCTGCTCTGACCCTCCTGGTCTCTTCATCTCCTCCTCTTCCTCCTGCTCTGACCCTCCTGGTCTCTTCATCTCCTCCTGCCTTCCTCCTGCTCTGACCCTCCTGGTCTCTTCATCTCCTCCTGCCTTCCTCCTCCTCTGACCCTCCTGGTCTCTTCACCTCCCCCTGCCTTCCTCCTGCTCTGACCCTCCTGGTCTCTTCATCTCCTCCTGCCTTCCTCCTGCTCTGACCCTCCTGGTCTCTTCATCTCCTCCTGCCTTCCTCCTGCTCTGACCCTCCTGGTCTCTTCATCTCCTCCTGCCTTCCTCCTGCTCTGACCCTCCTGGTCTCTTCATCTCCTCCTGCCTTCCTCCTGCTCTGACCCTCCTGGTCTCTTCAGTGTACTCTCTTTTCCTTTTCCTCTTTCTGTTCATCCTGATCTCTTCTCAGATATGTATTTTTTGTTGCTGAATCACTCCAGCTACTCTGGGCTGCAAGAGTCGACTTGTGAAAAGCACTGGTACAAATGCTTGTATAACTTTACACGTTAGGGCCATGTAGCGAATAAGTAGCATATCATAAATATAAAATCAGAAAGTATTTATCAAACGCACACAGGCAGCTGTGTTTAGAACCAGTTTGACGGTAAAGGATGTATCCTGGTTTCATTGATCAGCCTCATTGCTGTGATGTCTGAGAGTAATTTACATGGATTTAATAGTACGGCATAGTTTAGCAAATAAAAGTGATCGATCTCCCAGCTAGCGCTGTCTGTGTAGTAGGCTATTCTAACGCCCCAAACAGCGCCCGTCTGTTAAACGCTATCGAGTCAAACGGCAGCGCTTTATTAATATCTTGTTTCAAGCTCTCGTCCTTAGTAAAAACTAAAGTAGTGGAAGGGGAAATGCTCCAAGGGGAAATGCTCCAAGGGGAAATGCTCCAAGGGGAAATGCTCCAAGGGGAAGCTGATCCACCCTCAGGTGCTGGCACAGCTCAGTCTCTCTGCAGCTGCGTGAGCCGCGGTCTGTGTGAACGCCGCTCCGCAGTTTAATGCAGGGCCGTAGCTGCGTTTTTAACGGGCCTAAGATGATATTTAAAATTATTCACTTTTAATGCTCTCTCTCTCGTTCCACACAATAAATAACTTTTAAATAACCATTTTTCTTCCTGGTCTCTCGCGCCCCCCCTGTCATGCCTCTGAGCCCCCCACGGGGGGAGCTGCCCCCACTCTGGGAACCACTGGGTTAAAGGAACAATTATACTGCACTGTTACATTTATATTTGTACTTCGTATAAGTCTTATCCAATTTTAGCTTGTTTAATTTTAGGTTTGTTTACCGGTAAATGTAATTTTATAATGTGTTTATTTTTGCACTTTGTCTTATAGATTTCTTAAATAATTTTTGTAAAGCACTTTAATTGCCTTGTTGATGAAATGTGCCAAGTTAACTTGCGTTGCCTCAAATTGAAAACTGAGTATATGTCTTTATAACACTTTATTGCATCAGCTCATGAACACGCAATCATGGAAGTTAACAGATATAGAGATACATTCCCTCAAAAAACAGGAAGTACCTCAAGGCAGCGTTATACTAAGGGAATTAGTGGCTAAAGATATGCTTTTCTTAACGATATATCTTAATTAGCATAAAACAATACTGAATCCCAGCCACAGAACCCCCCCCCCTTCCTTACTGCTCAGGCATGGACTTCTGCCTCCAGTGAGCAGAGCTCCCAGAGGCGTCGCTGGAGCAGGACAGGTTGCTGGGAGAGCTGCGGTTGTGAGGGGAGCGACCCAGAGCCATGGCGGAGGCCAGACTGTAACTCTCACAGCCCGGAGACATCCTGGAGGAGAACAAACACGTGCACATACAGGAAGTGTGAGAATCTACAGGCATGTGGAAATGGAGGATAAACACAGCAAAGCGTTGAAGGAGCAAAATGTTCCAATTTGTTCCTTCAGAGGAAATTCCATTGATTGCTACTTCCCACGCATTCTGGAGGACATGAATACTTAACACCCGGCGGCTGAAAAATCAGCTTCCAACCCGACGGCTGCCTTTTGTGTGCTTTGTTGTTACACTAGCTTGCAGGATTTGCTTTGAATGTTTCATTTCAAGAGGTTCAAAATGTGTTATTTTAATGAAGAAATAAAAGCAGTAACACTTTAATTTGTATAACTTGCCTACAAATGGTTTATTTATAACATCTCACAACCATACCTACTTATACTCAACCTATCGTCATATTTAAGATAGAGATGATCTGTTAAACCTCTTCAGGCAAAGCAACACAGTTGAATCGATACGCTTTTAGAATGTTAAAAATACTAACAATAAATGATTACTGAAAAGAAACTCACACAAATACTTAACCAAGGATTAGCTGATGAGACTTCTGGCATAAAAATCCACATTTTCCAGCTGAACTGTACATTGTAAATCAGGGGTGTCCAAACCTTTTTCACTGAGGGCCACATACAGAATAATATACAAAGGGCTGGGCCACTCCCTAGAGGTGAGGTTCTTGTCTCATTAGTTAAGTTAAACTCTCCGTAGGGTTCCATTGATTTTGTTTGCAGCTCATTCCTTAAAAAAGAAGCCTCGGATTGTTGCTAATAAGTGGAAATCGGAAGGGTGTATTTCAAGCTTGTTCTGCAAATAAGTGATTTGGCTTTTTCAATATAATCTAAGATTTTACAGAAAATGTCAACTTTAATGTATTTGAAAAAATGTATTAACACATAAAATAGATTTAAGCAATAGCTCACGACAGGCCGTGGTATATGGTCATTATATCACAGCTAAGGGGCGTGGTTCGGCCCGACGCGAAGCATGCAGTTTTTTCAGTTAGTCTTTTTAGACCAACTGTATAGTTATATCGACCGGACTTCTTTCTGCAGATGTGAGCATCCTTAACAACGGTCAATAAGTCCTTGCTGCACATTATCCCATGTTTCCATCTTAAGCTTTGTTTGTTAGTTAGTTTCGTAACGGACGTAATGTAACAGTTGTAACGGTTGTAGCTTTTCTCAGACGCGGAGGGAAACTGACTTGTTGTGAAAAGTAACTACAATTCTACCCGTGATATTCGCTCATATCACGGCTAAGAACCAATCAGATTGCTTGATTTGACTTGTCCGTTTTATAATTTTAGATATATTTAAGATGTTATATATAAGACAAGCACCAGTTTCATGAGTGGTCCATATTCCATTTTACTTTTAGAATTTTCCTGAGGGCCAATTAGAAATGTACCCCGGGCCATAGTTTGGACACCCCTGTTGTAAATCCTCTTCCCCTTTTCATATAAATATTGTTATGGCTCTGACCTCTTGGTGTCGAGGGGCCGGCCGTCACTGCTGACGCTGCGCGGGATGACGGCCCCTCGCTCCAGCCTCTCTGCAGACAGGGTCTTCCCCCCGGAGCTGCCCAGGCTGATGGCCCGGTTGGGGGTGTGCGGCTGCGGCGAGGCGGTCAGGGACTGCTGGGGGCTGCTGGACGTCCGCTGCCACTTGTTGTTGTTGTTGCGGAACGGGAACTTGTATTCGAAGGAGCCGCTTTCGCCGCTGCTGCTCTTATAATCTGACGCAGGCATCCGATAGAGCTCCGAACAGCCCCTGTGGAAAGAGAGGGGGGGCGTTTCGTTTGAGAAGACAGTGATGTGTTTTTTTTTTAACATTGAATGTCAAAAATAATTCAAAGAAGAATATTTGCATTATACATATATTTCTTAATTTCTGGGTACCCTGTTTTTTCACTTGGTCCCTTAAATGAATGTGCCACTGAACTTCATGTATAAAAAGGTGAGCAATCATGTTAACTGCACTCCAGATAACTGAATTAAGAAATAAATGGTAATTAAAAGTACTTAAATATATATTTATATTTTTAGGAGCCAGCTCTTATTTGGATTGTATTTATTCTCATTTAATTATTGTAAGATTGTTTTATTCAGTGCTGTGTTTATTGACTTCTGTTGATGTTGGGTGTTCAAATCACAAAGTTATGTTTTGCCCTGTTTATAAACCGGATGAGGAGTGAGTATAGTTTTGTATTGTTTGTTAACTTTCCAGTATAAAAAGTGTAAATAAAGTTAAATAAAGTTGACTGATTGATTAAAGCAGCTTCCGTCCCGTCCTACCTGCGTGGGGTGGCGTCATCATGTGGCGGGATGATCACGACCCGCACTGCCACTGAGGTCCGCAGGACGTCAATCATCTGCTCGTGGGTCAGCGTTGCTACGGCAACTTTGCAGATTTCCACCAATCGGCTTCCCTGACGCAGTCCTGCCTGCCAGGCGTATCCATACGGCTCCACCTGTTGAAACAAAGTTTGATTGCATTACAGCTGTCGGGGTGGGAAGCTTCATTATTCAAACAGTGATGTTTAAGATAGTGAAAGGGAAAATGTAGTTTAAGGTAAAGTAATAAAGTGCAATGACAATGTTTTTGTCTCCACATAATTGCTTGTTATATATCATGGTGTAACACTCTGCAATACTGATTATTGTTATACTGATTTTGAACGCAACAAGGTGGCAACAAGGCAACTTTGACTCTCTGCACTTTGCAACAAATGACTCATTACCAATACAACTCTTTAAAGATAAAACAAACAATTAATCCAATAAAATAGCTATTAAAAAGGGCAGAACATCCCAGCAACAGGTGGGGTAAATATAATTAAGTATATCCACTCTCTTCAGGGTAGAAATGTGTTTCACTCAAATTAACTTTATTGTTTTATAGTTCATTTTCAGAGGAACATCTGAGTTATGTGCGGACAGATACCTCAGCCACGATGCCCTCGTAGTTCACATGGAAGCCAAGCTGCCCCAGGCCATTTCGACGGAGCGTCATCTCTGATGTCTCACAGCCTTTAGTCAGGAACTTGACACATGAAAGATGCACAAGGTCGAGATAAAAGATTAATTAACACACATTAGATAAGAGAGATGATGAAAAAGAGCAAAACAGGTCAAGAGGCAGGTGGAGGAAAAGTTATCTTAATAGGGTAGATAGTAATAAAGCTACCAAACACTATTTTAATGTGCTTCGACCTACAAGTTGAAAAAAAGATTTTTTGAATAATTTAAGAGATCCCTTAGAGATTTATAGCCATAAATAAAGAGTAATTAGTGCTCCAGCTTATACCACACACACACACACACACACACACACACACACACACACACACACACACACACACACACACACACACACACACACACACACACACACACACACACACACACACACACACACACACACCACACACACAACACACACACACACACACACACACACACACACACACACACACCACACACACACACACACACACACACACACACACACACACACACACACACACACACACACACACACACACACACACACACACACACACACACACACACACCACACACACAACACACAACACACACACACACACAACACACACACAAACCACACCACACACACACACACACTTCTTTCTTGCTGAAACACTTTAGGTTGTGTTCACGCAGAGATGCGTTGCTCAGGAGAGACCCTTTTGGACTTCATGTTGTTTCATGACGGGATGCGATATTCAGGCGGGGATTGCTGTGAAGTGTCCGTGTTTCTGGGACAGGGAGTGAGGTACAAAAGTTTAAGATGATTATTTAGGGACTAAGAGCCCAAATCGCTTGTCAATCATCATCTGACAAAGCCAATCATAATTCCAGACTCATTTTAATTATGGTAACTCACTTCTCCCTCTCTTCCTCTAATGAGTCTCCTGGCGACTTCAGGGCACCTTCCTTGCATTTATTTTTTCTTTACAGAGCTTTAGCAAAAGCTTTATTGAAGTCAAACTCACAAGGGTGCGTGAATAAATCATGCTGAAGACTGGCAGCTGATAGGAATTGTTATGATGCTCTCTGATGTTTCTGAACGTGTGCGTGGGAGAGAAGAAGGACAAGAAAAAAGGGAACGATGAAGAACAAACGGAGGATAAAAAGAGAGGAGAAGAGAGAGAGAGGGAGACGAGTGGCCCAAGGCCTTCCCTTTCTCTCCCTGGCACCGAGGTAGTCCTAACGATTGAAGATTAACGCCAGATGCAGAAAATGCAACATGAAAGTTATACATTTATCAGTCCTGAGCAAACTAACACTATGTGTGTTTTAAAATGATGTTTGTATACTTGTGAGCGAATCAAAGAGGGTGGACTCCATCCAGGTTACGTAAACATTGTACAAAAAAACCATCACACACACAATTTGAGGGTAGGAAGAAGCTGGGGAAATGAATGTATTCCAAAGCACTGATGATTGCATAAGAATACACCTTTTTTTTCTAACCAGTTTCCATGGAAACAGATAAGGAAGACCTAGCACTACTTCAGTGTGTGTGTGTAGGTGTGTGATGAGCCGTTAGGAGTATGATGTCCAGAGGTGTTTCTGAAACTCTTTCAATAAGCTGAGGCCAGTAATGAGACAGCAGCTCAAAAATGTTGTCATGCTGGCAAACTATCAGTAAGCAGTGGGAGTCAGTGTGGGGGGGGGGGGCCCAGGTAGATGATCAATGGCAGCCTCTTACACATTCAATAGGTTTTCCTCAGTATTTGATTTTCACACATGAATTAAAGTGTTTTTAAATAACCTTTTGTTGTAGTATTAGACACAACTTTTACCAAATCCTCTTGACAATAGGTAATGGCGCATTTCCACTACAGCACGGAGCCTGCTTTAAGCGTGCCGAGCCGTGCGGGGTCCGTTTTTAGTTGCGTTTTTGGTTGCGTTTCCACTTAGCGTAGTTCCGGCTAGCTGCTAGCGGGTACTATTTCCAGATGTTCTGGCCCCATAAAATCCAGGTTCTTTCCGGGCCAACCACCAGGCTGAGTATGCTAAACTAGAGAGAGAATCGCTGGCAAGGGGGCTACAACTACAACAAGATGAACATATTTGACCGTCATTTAATTGTAATACAGGTTTCAAAATGATGCCGAAGTAACAACATACTGATACCGGTTAGTAAAAACCATGAATTAATGCTTTGACAAGTCTGCAGACAGACGGCAGGCGAAAAACCCTTTTAAAATGCGTGTTTTCTGAATGGAGCTTGGCTAAGCTAACGTTATATATGCTCCGACCGTCCACACTCACAACAACGGCCTATACAGACATAAATAAAGCAGCGACTGTATTCACCATGACACAGGCAGTCTGTGGTTTGTACTTTTTTAACTTTTGTCTAGTTTCTGAACAGATATGAGGAGCTGTGAGCTCTGAGGGCTAAGAGCTAACGGCTGATGTTGTTTTTCTGGGGTTCTCATTGAAGATGACGTCACGGCTCCGCCTACACTGCGTTAGAATAGATACTACCCCAGTTCCTAAACTGTAATGGAAATGCGCCATTAAGTGAGCAAGGCCTAACAAGGCCTAGTATGGAGCCAGATTTGGGTCAATATTCTAGCGCGCAAAACAAGCTACTCACGAGCAAAACATTTGCTTTTACACGAGCAGGGTTTAATCTGCGCGCCAGGGTCATTGTATGCGCGTGTAAAAGCATATGTTTTGCTCGTGAGTAGCTTGTTTTGCGCGCTAGAATATTGACCCAATTCTGGCTCCATACCGAGCGAGGCCGTGTAGTGAAAATGCGCCATAACAGAGTGTCAATCACTGCGCCTGAACTCCAATCAGTCTGTCAAACTAGGCAGTGTGAAAACATTAAACGAGTCAAGATTATGTTTTATGTTTATGACTCAAGCATTGTCTATTTTTCACCTCAAATGTTTTCAGAAGCATATTTAATGTACTGTTAAAATAGCAAGTTTGCTCTAGCCGGTGAACAGTGCTTGGTTTCTAATTGTATAGCCTAAAAGTAAACTCAAATACCTTTCAGAAAACATTTGAGGAGAGAAATGCAAGATGCAGTAGTCTATCAGTAAAAGTTTACTGTCTAATGCACTCACGTCAGGATATAGTGACCGCTTCAGCAAACCCAACAAAAAGTTATTTTTAATAAAGTCACAAACTCGAGTGCATGTTTCTCAGAGCCTTTCTTTTGTGCCGCTCAGTCTCAAAACAACTACATGGAGTCTGGTTCTTTGAAATTGAAAGTGGAGCAACCCATTCTTTCACACAGTGACGTCACGAGCTACCCACAATGCAACGCGCGCCATATATATATATAAATACGACATTTTCCTGGAGGTGCAAATATCATGGAGGTGCAAATATAAACAGCTAGCTAACGTAGCCAGGCAGAGCGCACTAGGTTTTTTTTCTGAATTAACGACCGAAGAAATCGCTGCATGTCTTCGGATTACATCTCTGGACTTGAGGGGTGTGCTCTAGGTCGTTACCAGCGTAAACTAGAGCTGTGTGGGTTGTCGGATTGCCCTTACAGACTGCCTGCAGATGTATGGAAAAACGACCCTCGAAAGTGGCCTTCGTCGATTTTGGCTGCATATACGTCTAATTTCTGGAAACACCAGGTGAATACCCCACTTGTCACAATAATATTATCATGCCATTGCATATATGTGGTATTTTAGAGTTGACTAGATATTGATTAAGGCAATAGACTATGATATTCTGTATGCACCTCGCGTGAAATGGCGGATACCGGAAGTACGGTGTCGCCCTCGGCCCAGTACCCGTATGTGTGTGTGAAAGAATAAGGTAACAGAGGCAAAAAATGTCAGCACTGAAACTATATCATGTTAAATCTCATGTCAAGTAACGAACTGAGAAAGTTTTGATTGACGGGACCACCAATAAATGTCAATCATTGACTTGAAAATTGTTCAAACAACTACTAATTTATCATGCAGAAAACGCAATATCTTGGCATGCTAAGCCGGCATGCTAAGCTAACGTCTCACCTCGAGACGTTTGACCACCTCTTTGAAATCCTCCGTGTTGTTACTGATACTCCTCAGAGACACACTTTCCCCGCGCTCGTAGAATATCCTCAAAGACGCAGGGCTGCTCGCCGTCCAGCCGATCACGTCCTTAGCGGCGCAGTTAAACACCACAGCCTTGGCCCCCTGGTCCAACAGGATGAGGAAGTCATTGGAGACGGCCAGCAGGGCCTCCAGCTCCCCTCCCGTCCCGTGGTCCTCCACCTGGACGAGCCAGGTGATGGCCCCCAGGCTGCGCAGCTCTGCTCCTCCATACGGCCGGCTCTTCTCCTTTTTCTTGTGCGCCAGCGAGATGAAGGGGAACTTTCCGGAGGGGTCGATGGGAGTGCTGGTGGTGTGGCGCTCGGCTAGGTCGCGCAGGTACTCCTGTCGCGTTCGGGTGGCCATGGCGCGGAACTTCTGCGACTTGTGGGCGGCGTTTTCTGCATTGATGACCTTGGCCAGCAGGAAGTCCCGGAACACGGAGGATTTGGGAAAGGTCACGTCTTCTGGGATGGGAGGACCGAATGAGGGCACATCTTTGGAACGAGTGACGGCCACACTAAAAGAACAGAGGATCAGACCAGGCAGAGAAAAAAGAAGAATAAAGATGGGAGGAGAGAAGAGAAACATTTGTTGTTAACAAATCTGTTGTTGCAGTATTGACCACTAATGTGGATAACTTAGGGTGGGTATTTTGTTCTGACATCATAGATTATGGGGCTTAGATACAGTGTTTTATTACGTCGTAAATCTTTTCAGAATGTCACATCTCATCCAACCAAGTGTTGTGTATATGCTTAAGTTTTAAATGAAAAAATATGAAATATCAAGGCCCCCCTTGTGCTCGCTCAAGTATCGCTCAACCTAAAAGGAAAAATCCGTGACTAGTATTTATAGTAAATAGATTTTAAATGTAAAAAGGCATGTTTCGTTTCTGCTTTAAATTGGCTGTCTACTCTCCTGCTCTCTTTATCTATTTAAATGTTGTTCAAAATAAGTTGACAGATTTGTAGTGTTCAGGCCTTGTACATTTACTTCAATGTCATTTCCTCTACCTCCCTGTTTTCCTGCTCTCCACCTCCCTTCTCCAAACCCCTTTTTTCCTTTGATTAAGTCTCTGGAATGGCCATCTGAGGTTCTGTCTGGAATGTCAGGAACTCAGCGGAGCAGCCATGGAGAGGAAGGAGAGTCGAGGAGGAGGAGGATGAGGGGGGAGAACTATTCTAAACCTCCTGCCCAGAGCCCCAGTGTGAGGGAAAAGGAACATGTGGCTGAGAAAGAAGTGTGAGAGACTCTGAAAGGATAGGGAAAGTATTGCTTACTGGAAAGAAAACAACATTTGTGTTGTTATGTGAGAAAAACAGAGGTACAACATGATCTGTTGAATGTCTCAGTCTGAAGCAGTTAACCAAAATAAGCACAATATCACATTTCCTCGTCTCAACCTCCCCATGACCAAATGAGCTCAATCAGAGCTCCTTTCTCAGGTGATAATTAGCAGCTGAGAATGCAGAGCCTTCATCCCACACGCTGACATGCATCAGCACACCAGGATTAATCATTTTGTCTAATTATAAGCAACTAAAGTCAAAATGTCACCCACATATTTCTAAACATACCCCTGAGACCCCCTGTTCTCTCCGGAGACGTGTGGTGTTCAATTATACTAACTGTCAAATTTGTTGACACGTCATTTCCCACCTTTCCTTGCTGGTGACAGACTGAGGTATGAGTGGAAACAACTGTTGACATTGCTTATGAGAGTGCATGCACACACTTTTATGGTACAGTGTTGATAAAGAAAATGGAAATAACCTCAGTTATGATTAGGGATGGGTATCGTTTGAAATGTATCGATTCCGATTCCGGTTCTGCTTATCGATTCCGGTTCTTATCGATTCCCCGTTTAGATTCCAAAATTGTAAAAGAAAGAGGTCAAACGTTTAGATAACAAAAATATCTTTATTTTTTTAAGCTTTAACTGAAATTTTTACAAATAAAAAATATACATGCAATCCAAATGTATTGCACAATAGCTTTGCTTTATTTTAACTGAGCTATGCCTGTGGCAAGCTGTTAACAGGCATTACACTGTGCCTTGTCTTTTTATTTTTTAGTGTAGTGGAGCCTCACTTTAGAGCGTTTACCGCGACCCATCTTTGGTGTTATGAAGTGACTGAGCTCGTGAACTGTCTACGGGAGGGCGGGGGGAGCCTCGCTGCGGGGCAACTGTGGACATCTGTCGCCTGTCAGCGCAACTTACATGATGCCGTTTAAAAGAATTAAGGGCGGTGCCGGCCGTCAGCTTACCGAGCCCGCCGTCAGCGGGCCGTTGACGGCCGGCCATTCTGTGATTCTCCAGAACACACATGGCCAGTCCGCCCTTACCCTGTATTCCACCGGGGAACCGCGGCGCAGACGGACCCGGTCGAATACAGGTATATCGCGTTTAGGAACCGTTAAGCAGAACCGTTAAGCAGAACCGAAATTGTGTATTTTGTATGGGTACCCGGTACCCGGCATTTTCTTATCGGTTCTCATCTGGAACCGAGTTTTGGTTCCCAACCCTAGTTATGATGCTAGTAAGTCAAAATGTGGCTTGCATTTCCCACAAGGCATATGAACTGCTCTCAAGGACATAAACAAGGAGCAGGGAAGGAGGTAGTGTGTAGGTGGAGGGTCATACAAACATTACATTTCCCTGAAGCTATTTGGATTTGTTTTCATTTAACCGCTAACGTATGTTCAATATGAACCATACAGTATATCCCCTATTTCTACGTTAATGCATTACATGATCAGTTCATGGTTCATCTGATACATTTCAAAGTTGTTTACTTTTTACGACACAGAGGAAAGGTGTGATCCCTAGAAGTTGAAATAACGTGCAACACATACTACATGCAGTGGGTGCAAACCATTGATTATGTTCATGTTTAATGCCTTGAACAGACAACATCAGTCCTCCTTATGTTGACATCATTGTTTACCTCCGTAAAGACTCAACATAATTGACTTAGTTGGTTAATACAAACTGTATGCTGTTCCCAGGTTGTTTTAAAGGATTACCTCACCTTAAAGCAAAGAACATGTAAGTACTTGAATGTTCTACATCCAGGTTAAAGTGGATTTCTTTCTAGTTAAAAGGGCTGTGATAAATATTTTTGATTTATGACATTGACATAACTATGTGTATGTGACGTTGCTCTTAGTGATGGGCCCCGTACCATCATCACCGGTCTTTGAGCTCTTGTTGTTTTGGTTTTTTGGTCCACAGCGTTCACTCTTACTACTCTCAACAGGGTCATTACCAGCAGCAAAAGGTCGAAAAAAATAAACTGCATGCAACGTCGCCAGCAGAGCCCCAAATGAAAGATAGACAGTCAGGCTCTCACTTGTGAACACGGAGCATTAGGGGTCTAAAGAGCAAAATCATTTTCTCAAGAATTGATGGACCCAAACTGAGTTACACAGAGACCGAAAATATTAGAAAAGTACATTATTTAGGTGGCCAAAAAGTCGACTGATGATAATGGATAATAGATGTGTAAATAAGCATGTCTGCTAGCATGTTTGCAACATCATTTTATAAGTGATATTTGAGATCGTTTCTAGGCCCAAGTATCCAAAAGTGTTCATGCAGGTTCAAATGGCACATTATATGAGAATACAGTGCACCGCAGTTCCACACTACTGATCATTTGTAAATCAGATCTAAGCAAGAACATATCTGTGATAATGAGCTGCAAATGGCGCTCTCAGGTTCGTTGCAGTACAGTATGTGAAATAAATAAAACATACCTAGAATTGAATTTTCCTTTTGCGGCGCTAGCATAGAAAAGCTTAATTTTAAAACTGACAGCTCATATGAAGCACAAAGTAAACGACTTAGTCTGAAGGCAATATTCGTCAATGCTTTTTTTGCAGATGACAAATTAATCATGCGGGGTATTTCAGAGAGCAGCAGCTGAAGTGCTTATAAGCAGGGCTGAACAAATGGTACAAATAAAATGTGACCTTTTATTCTTATTCTTCTCCATCACTACAAACATCACTCAATGCATTAAACTGGAGCTCTAAAAGCACTCAACCAATCGCCTGTGACTCACGCAGGACACAGAGCGGTGACGGAGAGAGAGGAAGGTGGAGGTGTGAAAGCCAGAGAATAAGACAGAAAAGCATGAAAAAAAACTGAATGACATAAAAAAGAGAGATTGAATGAGAAAAGAGGGCGAGGGTGAGAATAATAGGAGCAATAAGAAAAGAAGAATGTGGTGCAATTGAGGTTTCTGTGCAGTGCGGCTGCTGTGTGATCCGCGTGGCAGGAGGTTTGGCAGCAGGAAAGAAAAAGTACATTCCTGTGGTTTCTGTGATTTCTGGTCTTATAAATATCTACTGTGTGGGCAGCGCCGCTCTTCCAGAATCCACAACCTGCTACCCACTGAGCCAAGTAAGAAAAAGAACATGTCAATACGTATTGGAGTGGGTGGCTAAGAGGTGTACTGTGGATGTATGCGGATGTGAGGAAGGTACACAAAATAAGCTTTTGTCTATTTGTGACAATAAGTCATAGGGAAAGTAGGCTCGCATAGTGGCTTTTCTGGTGTGCCCTATCCATGTGTAGTGTGTTCTAGACTAGTGAGACCTTTTCGAGTGGCAACCCCCCATCATAATGAGGTCAGTGTTCGCACCCCATATAAACACATTGATCGCTGATAAACTGGTAGCACAAATAATTGTGAATGCACTGTGTGCTCTTAATGCTTTCTGGTGTGTCCACATGTTGGCATATGATTACTCTACGCTATGCAAGTGGATGTTTGTGCTGGAAATGAGGGAGTTGTGTAAATGTATCACTCAATAAAATCTATTTTTAATATATTATATAAGGCTATTTTTTATCAGTGGTAAAGGCGATTGTAATGTAATATCCATGCCCCAGTTGAATTAGGTTATTCGTTTTTTTGCTGGAGTACCCTCAAGGATGTTCTATCAAACCCCTTAGCGTACACTAAAGATGTCACATGAAATTCACAAAATAAAATATAATAATAATCTGATCTAAATCCTCCTGCGTAAGGTAGTGAGTAATTATTCACACCATATGAAATGTGTGCACTGGGAGTCACGTTCAGTGTCACCATTACCTCGTGGTATATGCTGCTTGTGTGTTTAGTCTAGCAAAGGTCTCATAGCTGGGAAGATGTGTTTGCATTCAGCAACGAAGACACTGGTTGAAATGGTGCTGGTGATTCCAGTCTCCAGCAAAAGATGCTCTTTTGTTAAATTGTATTGTTCATTATTTCATGGCTAGGTACAATCGCTGCAGGGCTTTTCTTGGTCACTGCAGAAAAAAACATTTTCCTGTAAATGTTTTATAGATTTATGAAAATGTAATGATGTAAAAATTTCTTATCATTTATGGTTTAAAAAATATAGACTTTTTGCAATTCTTTGTATTTTGTATTTTATTATATATGTTGCATTGTTGGAGGAGCTCAGGTCAGAAGGGTTTCATTGCCATTTCTACACTGTAACTTTGTACATATGACAATAAAACCTTTGAATCTTGAATTGAAAAAAAAAGGAGTTTAGGTGCTGCATTAGAAAGCAGAAGATCAACAATAAAGAATAAATGACTTAATTCTCCCATGTTCCCCTTAAACTGTGGGTTTTCTCCGGAAGTTTTTCCTTGTACGATGTGAGGGTTTAAGGATAGAGGGTGTCGTTTTTCTCATACTGATATTCTGAACAATCTGTGCTGTTGTATTTGCTGTAAAGTGTCTCTACTGTAGGCTATTTTTATTTTATGTACAGCACTTTGGCTCGACCAAAAATCGTTTATAAATGTGCTATATAAATAAAACTTGATTTGATTTGATATGAATTTTTGTTCACCTGATGTTTCACCTCTACATTTGCAAGAAATTAGTATTCACCTCAGAAAACAATACAACGTGTATCCAGAGGTTGCGTTAGACTTTTTCACTGACCGTCATTTTGACGGACAGGATCGTAACATTTCCGTCAAAATTCAGTGTTACCCGTCGGCCTTTACACTCTGGGGGGGGAGAGAGAGAGAACTGTCAACCGGTGGGGGGGGGGGGGGGAGCACGGTCGTGAACTGTTAACGGGGGTGTGGGGGGGGGGAAAGCACAGTCGTGAACTGTCAACGGGGGGCGGGGCCCACTGCACCTCGCAGGAGTGCGCACAACGTAAAGCCAAAACTCAGACATTTCAATGATTTGTAGGGCAAAGTTGGGTTTGGAAACGGTATCATTTCGTTTTTGGCAGGCATGCATAACACCGGAGCCTCGCTGCGGGGAAACTTTGGCGCTGTTCCGAGTTTGTTCTAATCCGTCAAAATGACGGACTGCTTTCAGATTTTTCCGTCATTGTTAAAAAAAATCCGTCATAGACGGAAAATATTCGGTTAACGCGACCTCTGCGTGTACCGTATTTGCTCTATATTCACTCTATTGCTGGGCTCTTTTTTTAGCACGTGTGTGTTGTTACTCAGTAACGAAGTAGGCCCATGGGGGACAATTAAGACCTCACACAATGTGCCCAGACAGCAATTAAAACAGTCATTAGTGAGAGAGGGAGGGAGAGTCGTAGACAGCAAGATAAGAGAGAAAGACAGAAAAGGAGATAACAAGACAGTTAGGAGTACACAGAATGAAATGAAATGTCCTCACAGCTGAACAGGCAGAAAGTCCATTATTTCTTAAAAATGATTCAGGGCTGGCACATTGCATTTCATATTGCACATCTCTGACAACGTGGTAATACATCAGTGAGATACAGGGAGGACTCTCAACTCTCTCAGCCTAATCACTGATGGAGTAATGGAACGGCAATCATTCGAAGCAACAGCATTATTCGTTCAGCAGTGATAGAAAGGGACTCATGAAGAAAAGTAATCTGCATAACAAAGACCAAAGAAGACTAGAGTTTTTCAAAATGCATATTTTAACCTGGCTTCAATAACACTAAGATAACAAGAGAGCTGTCATATTACTGAAGGGTTGCCGTGAGCAACAAAAAAAATATTTAATTATTAAAACAATTGCAATAGCTCTAAAAGGAAGTAGGGAAGTAGACAGAGAGCAACAAAACTCACAAAAAGAAAGAAACTGAAATTATTTAAGAGGCAGTGGATTACACAAAATGTTTAGGATACATTCGAATTTTATAAATACTGCATTTTTAAAACAACAAGGTAATTATTTATAATCACCTGTATAACGTAACACCCCTAGAGGAAGCATTAGAAAACAAATACCTGTTAAATAAATAAATAATACAAAAAAATTAGAAAGACTTTATCAAACTATGTTTTAAATGTTTTGAACAATTTTACAACTCTGCTGCTTATTATAAAGTCCATTAAACTATTCACTAAATAGCCTACTGTACCTTATTCCATTGTACCACTTCATAGAAAATCAGCATGAACCACTTCATTCAGCTTTAAAGGTGGGGTAGGTAAGTTTCAGAAACCGGCTCGAGTGCACTAAAATTTGAAAGTACACAGCCGAAAAGAATCCGCCCCTTCCTTCAGACTTCCTTACAGAGCACCTCCTCCAACACACATGAACGCGCAATGCACGCCCAATGACGGCACGAGATACATTTGTGCGTGCACGAGATGGAAGGCTGACAGACAGGGCGGCAATCCAGCTTACGGCTTCCACAGATGACTTTTTTTTATGGGTTTTTTGTCAAAGCACTTAAGATATCCATTGCTATCGGGATGTTAAGAGCATTCCATGGAATATAACAAAAAGTGTATCACGAGCCGGTTTCTCAAACTTACCTACCCCACCTTTAATTGATTTTAAGCAATCTGAATAATTGGTTGGATAATAGGTATTTCTTAATTCCTTCTCTCACGTACACGTATTCTCTCTTGTCATTCGGGTGGATTAAGCATTGGCTTTTTTATAGATAATGTTATAAAAGACAGCAGATATCCCCAATACTGAAAGCGAGAAACCAAGGGATGAAAACTCACTTTGTAACAGCTGGATATAGCATCGATGTTTGGGACCAAACAACCACAACATTCTAAATACAACAGTCATAAATACGGTACATAATACGGTATACAGTATATGAGTATATCTCACCTGTAGGAGCTGTTTTCGGAACATGGGTTGTGAGCTCGCACAACCAAAAAGACGTGCTGGAAGTGTGAGCGAATGTTTTTGGGGGTGAAGGGGAGCGCGCCAGGTTCCTGGAACACGATTGTAACAATATCGTTCCCAATATGCCGCTTTCGTAGTAACTGGAAAAGCACAAAGAAGGCAGGAGAAACCAGAATAAGTTAAATTAAATAAGATACCTGTAAAATACAGCAAAAACTATGCAAAACGTTTGAACCAGTCCATTTGATATGTACAGTGCACTGTGAACATAGAAATTGCTGGCATTATCTACACTATTCCTACTAAAGCCATGTGAAAAATTATTATAGGATAAGTGAAACCACACTACATGCTCTTTTTATTATTTCAATGGCATAGTCAAAGTTAAAAATGCTTTTTCGTGAACCTACCTGTTGCTTATTGTTGGGAGTGTAGGGCAGCATGGTGGACACATGGAACATGATCTCATAGTCCTTGTAGGTGGTGTACATGGAGTGGGTGCCCGTCGAGTCAGCTGAGGGGAAACAACTACATGTCAATTCTCATTTACACAGTTATTATAACCTGGATTGACCCAAGGTGGGATGCTTTCTGAAGCCAAACCCCAGGAATGTAATTGGCAAATGTCCAAAACCCCATGTGAATATAAAATAAATACCACTTCACCGTGATTATATTCCACTCTCCTAAATTGTATTGCTTTTTTTGTTTTAGTGGAACTTTCAAAAACCAATCATTTTTCCACTCTAATACCACACATAGGGATAATTATAAGATGTATCATAATGGTGGTGGGTCCTCACTTAAGATAATCAAGTTTTTGACTTTGAAATTCCACATCCTCACAACAGATAATGCCCGAGAGAAAACAGAATTGCTTTAGTGCAAAACATTTTAATAGCTTAACAATGTCAAAAGTATTCAAAATAATTTACTATAAAATATAATTGTATAGTGTAGTATGGTATAATTCTAACTTCTTGTTTCCATACTATAAAGGTGTGTATTAAAGCACATCATCTGTATGTTGTCCAGCCTTCCTGTGAATGCGGATAGGATGTGTTCCCTGAGGTCTGAACAGCCTCTGGCCCTAAAGAGAGCCCCTGCATGTTAATAACCACCACCAGTCTATTGATGGGCTCTACTCAGAGAACAGAACAAGGTGTTTAAAACCTTGCTAAATTACTCCTTCTAATAGGAGGGTGTGGCATAGCTGTATTTAATTAACTAGAGGGTACTGAGGGTGTTATTACATCCCCTGAAAAAGTGAAAGGGAGTGTTTGTCACAAAGAGCATTACTTTTATTGTTATATATTAGGAATAGTACAGAGTTAAATATGACAACATGAAAATATAAACCTGGAAATTAGCATTAGCCCATTTAAAGTAAAGTTTGTTTTCAGTAAATGCATAAACAGCAGAAAAATCAGGGAAAGAAAGAAAAAGGGATTAAAGTAGTCTCAAACTCAGGGGCAGAAAAGAAAAGCAGAAGTTTCAAACATTTTTTTTAAATTCATAAACACTGCAAAGGAAAATAAATGGGAAGATTTGTGCAGCACTTCAATCCACTTGAACATTTTAAGAACTTCAAATGTCTGCCAAAACCAATGCCAATGTAGTGAAACTATCATAATATATTTAATTTCAGTTTAGTGCTTTATTTTACTCCCCACATTACACAGCCTCCTTCTTCTGTGTAAAGTGGTTTTAGTTTATTTTAGAGGGCATGTTCAAGTAGTACTGTAGTCTGTGAAGTGAATATTTTCTGTGTGCACACTTAGCTGGTTTACCCACAGCGGTTACTTCACCACAATAAAAGAGGTTTGTTTCAGCTCTGCGCAAACGGGTAAAACCTCTCCATCTTCCCTCAAATCAGACCTCATCGGAGAGCTTTTTAAAGGTCACCTATTATGCAAACCTATATGCATGTCTCTTCTACATCAACATGTGTCCCCTCTTCTTCATGTCTCTTCTACATCAACATGTGTCCCCTCTTCTTCATGTCTCTTCTACATCAACATGTGTCCCCTCTTCTTCATGTCTCTTCTACATCAACATGTGTCCCCTCTTCTTCATGTCTCTTCTACATCAACATGTGTCCCCTCTTCTTCATGTCTCTTCTACATCAACATGTGTCCCCTCTTCTTCATGTCTCTTCTACATCAACATGTGTCCCCTCTTCTTCATGTCTCTTCTTCATCAACATGTGTCCCCTCAGTGGAAAGAGATTCTGAAAGTTCAGGAAAAAATATTCTCTCTCTTTTTGTCCTGATCCATTTCTATAAAACCTGTCTGAAAGTGAGCTGATCAGATTTTGGCCACTTTATGATGTCATAAAAAATGTTCTGGCTTGTGTAACTATTAACCCCCCCCCCCCCACCTTATCACCTGAATCTCCTCCTAGAGCACCATTGTGTTCTTTTTAACCACATGTCTCTCAGAGGGGCGTGGGGAGGGGCTCCTTATTTTCATCTAAAGTAAAAGACAGAGAATCAGCACTTTGGAAACAGGGCTGACACAGAGGGGATTATGGGATGCTACATTGATCTGTTTGGTGTTTGGAGCCAAACACTTCAGAGACATGTTTGTATATATCTGAGACCTATAATATATTGATGAAAAACAGTATAATAGGGGACCTTTGAGTCTCTATTTCTGTGCATGTACGTACTCTTGGCGTCCAGCTGGGCCCGGTACTTGCTGAAGCCTTTGAGCCGGACCCTCTCCCCCAGCAGATGAAGGAACTCCTCCAGCGCAGGACCAGCTGACTCATTGTTGTACATTTCCTCCTCGCTGCTCTGGCCGGCCATGCAGTACATCAGCCCCACTTTCCGCTGGAAACTCAACTATGGAGAGAGTGTTGCAATGAGAAGGGGAAACTTGTGTATTACTGTGCAGAGATCATGTCAGAGTCACCATGTTGACATTTAAGGGAGAACTCATGTTGGCATTTTAAGAATCAGCACCTTGGGTTATCATGCGGTGATCGCGGTGCCATTTACCAGAGAAATGATGTTGACATTTTCAGAGGTTCAGCTTTTGATGATTGCGTCAGGGAGCATGAGAGATGTTTGGCATTTTTCACCTTTTTATGGTCAAGTTGCGTGTGTGAGTTTGTGTGTGGGTGTAGACAAATAAGGGAGGTAGTGTCTCCACTTCAATCCCACTAAGTAGTCTGTGGGAGTGAATGGATAAATTAAGCATAAGTATAAAAAGAATATTGAAAATAAATAATTCTGCCTCACAGTGAAACATCCACTTTTAGGTCAAATAACACCTACACATGAAATGATTCATAAAAAAACAAAAGGAAAGATCTTTAGTTCAAAGAATTATCAAACATGCTGAATGGATAACATTTTGAGGAATGACAACAAGAAGTCTGACTAATACTTTTAATAAATAGAAAGCAGTAATACAAAAATATATATCAGCAATCAAAGGAATGAATCATCCAGTAAATCATAATTGTTGTCACTCGCGTCCTTACCCCCTGCTCGTCCAGCTTCATCAGCTGCTCCGTGACTTTGGGCGTGTTGAGAGCGAGGCGCAGGCAGTGGACGTTGAGCTCGGGCACCAGGTACTCCAGCACCTCTTTGAGTGGCAGACCCCGGCCCAGACCGTGTTTGGACGTGGAGGGTACGGCATCTTCCAGGATGGAGCCCCTCAGGGTATTCAGCTGGAGATGGCAAGGGAGGGAGAAGAACAAGAAAAATAGGAAACTCAGATCATTGAGTTTGAATAAATTCTTTCTTAATTCTGATTCTTCTAGAGCTTGAATGTTTTTTGGTGACCTCCATTATCTTGGTCTAGGGTTTTCTTTATGGCAGTTATCAGAATCAGAAGCGGGTTTATTGCCAGGTAGGTTCACACGTACGAGGAATTTGACTTGATGTCATGGTGCATACATAAAATCTAAAACAAAAAATCTAACAAAAGTACACAGATAGCGAACTATACATAATATATAGATAGATAGCAATAACATAAAGCAGTAATTTACAACAAAATAGAATGCAGTGAATTATAGAATATAAAATGTGGCTGCATCGTCAACTAGCAAAATCAGTCAAAAAGCTTCACAATGAAAACCCACTGATACTACAAACTGTACTACTAAATCATTTGCTGTTGGAGATATGGCAGCAGGTTGGATCCTAAATATACTAATGACAAAGTTATTCCTTTTCTTAATCCAGTACAGTATAAAAAACGACATGTTTGTTCTACTACTGCATACAATGTGTTGAACATTTTAAAACTCTTCTCTTGGCCTCTGCTGTATCTTAAGAGCATATTAAACTGCAGTGCTACAGATGCCTTTTCACAATGACAGATTCAGATTCAGCCTAGCTAAGTTGAAGTTTGTAGCTTATATAATTATTGTGTTTGTTCTCAAAATGTTTGTCTGGTTTGTTTTCTTTCTGCTCCGTTTAGTATGTTGGCAAGAAAAGCAAAATATCTTTCCAGCCATTCGAAGAACACTAATTTGTTAGTCTACGTTTGGGAAAGCTAAAAGTAGGCCTGCGATAAGACCCAAAGGTATCTGCAGTTAAATACAATTCACAGCAGAAGAGGGCTATTTAAAAAGAATGCATCATGGGCTTAAGTTAACCTTATTTATTTCAAAATCCAGGCTAAAAGTTGAACATATTTTCTGCTTGTGCAGGGAAAACAAAGTGTGGGGAACTGTCTAAGCAAGCACACAAATAATAATGCTTGTAGGGCTTTTGCTGCTACTGTTTCAACTATAAGCACTCTTAGGCTCGAGGCTAAAACAAACTCTAAGAGGACAACCATGAATAAATCAAGAGGACTGCAGAAGGACCAGGACCTGAAAATCCATCATGAACAAATAAACACAGTTGGATATCCTTAGTGGTCCCATGGCTCTTAAGAATCACTTATGTGTTTTGTGTCTTCAGTCGGCTCAAGGTCAGTGCCAACAGCCTCAGGTTTAAACACACTGGAGAGAAGTACTCTTACTGAGGAGAGGACAACAGCTGTCCTCTGTGGACACTGGACTTATCTCAGTGCATCCCACACACATATGTCTTTACCTGCCCACCTCCCCATTCTGAAAATAGCAATTAGAGAGCATAGAGGGAGTCAGGAGAAGGGAAGGAACAGAGAGGAAAACACAGCACAGTAGGTCGTGCGTCATCCCAAGAGATCGGAAAGGGCTATTACTCATGGTGCTCTTCAGTACGAGAGCAATGCTTTCCCCTCTCTACTCCAATCTCTTTGGCACTATTTTAGTCTCGTTTAGCTGTGAAATGGCACGGCTCAGTCCTTCACAGATGAAGGCTGACAAAGATGGTAGGTGGGTGTTCAGCTGAGAGAATGAGGACATGGATCTGTGGCTCTAGTCTCTATAGGAGGGGAAGGCAGTAAGGCTGAAGAGCGATTTATACACAAGCTCCAATCACTGCAGTTTGAGCATAAAGAATTGAGAATATCTGTTATAAATGGGATAAAACATGCTATTAGTTGAGGTTAAGGAATGGAGGCGGAGGCATCTAAGGTCTTGAGCCATATCCGACAACCTTGAGCCGAAGCTTTTATAATATCACACTGACTGGGTTTTTCAATAAGCAAGGCTGGGCATCGATCATTGATTACTCCTACACACTTCATCATAGCGCTTCTCAGTAGCATCCCTCAGTACAGAGTGTACTGAATATTGACACGTTTGTGAACATTCATGGCTCCGGAGAGAACAGCTACAAATAGATTGTATCCTGATGAATGGAAAGATCAATTAAAAAACAATCAAGCAAAAAACACAGATTATAAAAGAGTGTAAACCATTTGGCCTTTTCAATGTACCTCACTCATTCTGAAGATGACCCTGTAGTTGTATTGCTGGCCGTGGTCCTTGTGTTCGTCCAACTTCTCCCTCCTCAGACTCACTGCGACCGGGCCCAGGTTCTCATCCACCCCCAGATAGTTCCAGTGTTCTGGTGGAGAGAAGGGATTTGAGTAATGGATGGAGAGAAAGGGATTGTGTGAAAGAGAAGAAGAAAACACAGAGAACTTGTGAAATTAGATGACGATTTTGTTACCGTGCATATTTAAAGGTCAATTCTATTGGTCTAATGTAGGAAGGAGGGAACACCAGAAACAAAAATACCAAAGCATTAAAAGAATAACTTTACTAATGATCCTCCACTGTTCGCCAGCTTTTTTCTTACTCCTAGCGAAATACAGGATGCTGCATTTGCATGAATACTGAATGTTGTGCCAACTGTCGTCTAAGGTTGAATCTTGGCTGGTAGCAGAAGTTGGCATTTTCTCTGCCAATGAGCTTCTGTTATCAAATGTTAAGAAATATACATCATACAGTCAACAGCATTTAAGAAAGGCAGCTTCCACACCAGAACTAAATCAAGAACTATGAATTTAGAAAAGCCCTAACTATCCCCTTTACGCCTCACCTCTGAGGTAGAAAGAACTTTCGGTAGTAATAGGTGCCGAGGTCAACATGTTCCACGATGTAACGTTTGGACCTGTCAGCATGTTGGCCTGGCCCGTCCTTGCCAGCCTCCAACACAGCCACACCAGCGTTGGTAAAATGAGTAGTTAGGGTGGCATCCAAGGGTCCTTCCTCTGTACTGCCTGAAGAACTGCTCGAGGTCTCACCACTACCTATGCTGCCCGGCTGGGGGACGGAAGACCAGGAAAGGTAAAGCATAGCCATTGTGTAACACTTTGTTTACATTTAATCTTCAGTTACATGTTTATGTATAAAAGACATGAACAAGTGGTTTTTTTTCATATAGGTTACCTTTAAAATTTCAAACTGCTGTGTTACGTTTAAGATTGGAGAACCTTGATATATTTTGAGAAAAAATATGGGTTATTTTTCTTAATTTAAGTCTAATTATCTGTTCTGGCACAAAACCTACCTGTTTAGCAGAAGAGATGTTCCTCTCTCCCTCTCCACCAATCTCATTCCTGAAACAAGGGCAGCTGAGCACCAGGTCATTGGTCTTGTCGTCCCCGGGGTCCAAGGCAGGGTTGGTGCCGTGTCCTCCGGTCCCCTCCTTGCTCAGCTCCTCTTGTGAGCCACATGGTGAACCATATATTCCGCTCTGATTGGACGAGAGAGAGGATGTGGCTGAAGCGGAGGCAGCAGCAGCAGCCGAGGCACCGGTAGTAGTGTTCTTACGTTTGGACCCAGACTGCCTGCTGTGGATTGCCTCATTGAGGTCAAAAAGTAAAGACTGGATATCAAAATGGGCAAAGCCTTTTTGGCACGCCCAAGGTTTGGGAGGTGGGCTGCTCTCATCTGCTTTGCCCCCATCTTCAGCATCTGATCCAGCCCGAGATGAGTCCCCCTCCACCTTCACACTGCGCAGTTTACGGAATATTGATTCTCCACCTGTCTCCGACTTTGACCTCCTCTTTAAGTGCTTCTCTCGCTCCTTCAACCGACTGGCAGGACTGCCTCTTGCTGAACCTAAAGCACCATCAGGCAGGTCCAGGACCGCCTGTTTCGTTGGGGCCACGGTAAGCAGCTCCGATAGCTTCTCTGGGGCTGGGCTTCTCTGATCAGGGGCCTCGAAGGACTGGTATCCCTTTAGCATGTCAAAGAAGCTCTCCCCTGACACCCCGTGTTTATCTATAGACGAAGTGCTGCCATACTCTCGGTGCATGGGGGTCCACCCGGAGAAGGACCAGCCCTCGTTGCCGTCCACATCCAGCTCGCTAATGGTGATGTCGCTGTTACTGCGCTGACGGATGCGCCTCATGCCTTTGCGAGGAGACCCTAGGTATCCATCCGGTGACAGGAAGCGGTTGTCCTTCCCCTTGCTGTGCATCTTGTTCTTCAGGGTGTTGTGGATGTTGCGCAGCATGGATGAGTCCTGCGGGCTTATCAGGTGGCCCAGCTTGGCTGACAGATGGCTGTGGGCTGTTACTGCGGATCCCCCTCTTTCTCCACTGCCACTGCCACCACTACCACTACCACTACCGCTCCCACTACTTCCTCTTCCTCCTCCCCCACCACCACTTTCTCCTCCTCCTCCCCCTCCTCCTCCTACAAGTCTTTCTCTATCTCCACTTCCTGATCCTGAAGAGCTTGTGGTGTTGGTGGAGCTGGGTGAGTCGGTTTCCACCGTTATGTGCCAAAGACCGCCTCCTCCCCCGTCTTTTCTTGGCGGCCAATCAGCCACACGAGCCCGAACCCCCATTTTTGGTACGGCAGGGTTGGTGCCGGTAGTGGAGGAAGAGGAGATGTGGGCGCTCTCACTGCGGGGGGGCGGGGCCCCTCCATTGGGCAGTCTCAGGCGGCGGGTGTAGAACTCATCAGACGCTGGCACTGAGCCCCCGACCGAGCGCTCTGTCTGAGAACGCTTCAGACTGGTCATGGTGGAGGTGGGAAAGGGAGTGGGGGGGGAGGTAGGGATGGGTTGTTGATGGGTTTAGATCAGGGTCAACATTATGCCCACTCAGTGAAGTGACGAGAGACTCTCAGGGAAACATTTGGTGCTGCAGAAAAAAAAAACATTAATTTGTTGAGTTTTAAAAAAAGGTCAATAAAGAGCTTTTGGATCAATAAAAATACAAGTAATGGAAAATATATTTTTAAAAAAAAAATGTACAGCTTAAGTGATGTTGAGAAAATGTCTGGCTTTTAACATGGAACATTAAACATTGGCATCAATAATCTACCTACATCAAATAATATTTGCTACTGCGACAGCTCCAAGTTTAGCTTCGGCAACCGGTTACTCTCATGAACACACTCAGCTCAAGACATTTAGTTTGCATTCTTTTCAATAGAAAATGACGGAATATGCTTACGTTGATGGGGCTTGATGAACAGAAGTGTGTTATGGTAAGCTTTTTACAGCTGAAGTCTCTAAAAAGTAGTCTGCATTGCAACCATGTAAGAAGAGAACTCCATTCAGTCTGGATGGGACCAACTAAGGAACTGAGAAAAACAAAGAAAAGGGATAGGTAAGAGTAAGTAAGATATGGAAAAGAACATCACATGCTAGATAATATCAGATCTTTCATTAAAGGTCACCTATCATGCTATTTTTAGGCAATAGCATAGGTCTCAGATATATAAAAATATATTAAAAACATGTCTATGAAGTGTTTTGCTCAAAATACCAACAGATCACCCATTCTAGCCATGCCTCATATCCCTCTATTTCACTTCCTGTTTCAAAAGTGCTGATTTTGGGTATAAAGGTTTTTTTTGTTTAATTGATCATTTTTTTTTAAAAAGGAGGGGGCTGAGCTCACGCGGGACCCGGCAGCTACCGTCTAAACTAAATACTGCGGTGATGAAACGCCATATCATGGATTATCAAGGATTCTTTCTGAAACAGTATGGAGCTCAAAGGCTTTCTCTCTTGCCGGTTATACCACAAGGTGAGTTTCTGTTTATTTCCTGCTTCTTCACACACATGCTCTCCAGTACAGGTTAGCTCTGAGTGTTAGCGATGCTAATGTAAACACCGACCATATTACGTCCAAAACAGTCGGGCATTGTTTCTGAAAACCACATTTCTGATATTACGTCATATCGGACGCAAATCTGGATCAGCTCCGTTGTACCCCCATTTTTAGAGATTTGGGTACGGAGGAAAAGAGAGAGGGTTTTATTTTCTGACGCTGCGTGAGTTCCCCGACACACCGGGGACACATATTTATGTATAAAAAAACATCAAAAAGTGCATTTTGCATGATAGGTTCCCTTTAACTAAAATACATTACTCCAATAAGCCCTTCATGCTCAAAACACAGAAAATCAGGCAAAACCAACAAAAAGAAATGAGGCTATATTTGCAAGTCATGTTATGTAAGAGCTAGGCTAGTCTAATGGTCTAATGAGAAACCATCTAATTTGACTGAATGATGATATTTGGACCACTTTTAGCCAATGATTGATCTAGCAGGTACATTTTTCTAAAAAGTTAAGTGCAATTTTACACTACAAGATTAATTTACTAGTAATGCCGAGTATCACACAGCCTGAGAAAATGGAGAATGATGTCTGCTCTGTCTCTGTAGAGGACTTTTCCCATAGCAACTGTATTTATGTGTTCAATGTGGCTTTGGTATTCAAAATATATGCCCCTGCTGCAAGGATCTAAAATGTAACTGAATCAGGGAATTGAAGAAGTTAGCATTTTTGCCATGCCATTATTGTTGCTCTCACAAATTCAGAAAAGTGCAAAACTTTTCAAGCATTTATTTTAACAAGAATTTATTCTGGTGGAGTATTGGTACATTATTTTAAAATACCTTGTACAATTACAGATGCTTCAGGATTTAATTATCGCTGCCTTCACCGAGGGATCTGTGTTTTTTTCTTGTCTGGATTTCACTTCCTAACATCAAAGGATCCATGTCACACATGACCTTGCTGTTAAAGACATTGCACAGCCCACACACGGTAGAAAAGGTTTAGGAGATTAATGTAATTTAGAACCATATGTACAACAACAACATCTCAACCGAAAGAAAATATTGGACAGATTTTTCCTTCCTGAGCCATTATTGTAATAGCTCTGGAAAAAACGTCAGTATGCTTGAGTGTTTTTTTCTACTCATTTGTACATAACAGCGAACTACTTCTCTGTGCCAGACCATTTTGTATCACCATGGAGATAATGACTTGTACAGTACATATTTCTGTGAGTGTGAGAGAGAGAAAACAGGACGATTGATTCCTTCCCTTCCTACAGACCCCCCTGTGAACAGTTTCTCAACACATTAGTATCGAGATTTTCAAATTTAGGATTTGAAGACTTTGAATCTCCAATAAAAAACGAAAGGAATCGATCAATGCCACGACCTTTTGTATTGCCTTAGAACCAAATCTGAGGTATGTTGTTGCACCATCTGCATCTTTGTGCAGTACTCTACAGTATCTCCTCCAATCTAATTGTGCTTACGTTTTGTCTAAGGTCTGTTTGAGCAGCACAACATCCTCTTTAGTTCGGCTTCAAATACTGAGCACAATCCTTTGAAGACTAATAAGTAGAAACTCTAAGTAAAAGCTCAAAGTCTACACACACACACGTACCGAGCCCCGGTATTAAACGGGCCCCGGGGCTGAATTATTAAAGACTGATACTGGTACCGTTAAGCTCCAACGTTAACGGTCTTTTTATCACTACTGGAGACATGTAAAACATATATGTATATGTATTATTGCTACACAAACATTATATTGCAGTTTTAGTGTTGCCAACTCCATTTCTAATATGCAAAAAGCCTGCAAAATGCGTCTTTTAGTATTTTCGATCTTTTCAATCCAGGCGAGAGATCTCTCTCCCCCGCCTGCTTGCGAGGGGGCGGGGCAGTTTACACACACGCTACATGCAGCAACACACACACACACACGGCGGAGATGGCGGAAAGAACGCGCTCCGAGGTGTGGTTCAATCAATCAATCAATCAATGTTTATTTATATAGCCCAATATCACAAATGTTACATTTGTCTCAGTGGACTTTACAGTTTGTACAAAATATCAGTATGACAATACGACACCCTCTGTCCTTAGACCCTCACATCGTACAAGGAAAAACTTCCGAAGAAAACCCACAGTTTAAAGGGAAAAATGGGAGAAACCTCAGGGAGAGCAACAGAGGAGGGATCCCTCTCCCAGGACGGACAGACGTGCAATAGATGCCGTGTGTAAATTCAAAAGATAATACATTTGCAACATAGGTAGTCCAAATGTTTGGAAATGAATCCAATAGGAAGATGAATCCACGAGGATATCCATCCAGGATCTATGATCCAGGACCACAGCCACGACTCAAGATCCAGGACAGAGGAGCGCAGGATCATCCATGACTCCGGATCCCGGCGTATATAGCCACCAAAAAGAAAGACATTTGGGGAAGCTGGGTTAATCGGAACATGAGAGTACACAGGTATAGACAGAGAGAAGGAAGAAGTAAGATGTCCCCCGACAAACTAAGCCTATATCAGCAAAACTAGGGGCTGAATCTAATCAGCCCTAACTATAAGCTTTATCAAAAAGGAAGGTCTTAAGCGCACTCTTAAAAACGGATAGGGTGTCTGCCGCCCGAACACAAACTGGAAGCTGATTCCACAAATGTGGAGCTTGATAAGAAAAGGCTCTGGCTCCCATTGTACTTTTAGAGACTCTAGGAACAACCAACAACCCTGCATTCTTGGAACGCAATGCCCTAGTAGGACAGTAGGGTATAATGAGTTCTTTAAGGTAAGATGGCGCCTGCCCATTAAGGGCTTTGTAGGCGAGAAGAAGAATTTTAAATTATATCCTGTGTTCTATAGGGAGCCAGTGTAAGGCAGCCAGAACAGGAGTAATGTGGTCCCTTTTCCTAACTCTGGTTAGTACACGAGCTGCAGCATTTTGAATCAGCTGAAGCGACTTGACTGACTTCTTGGTACACCCTGATAATAAAGAGTTACAATAATCCAGCCTTGAAGTAACAAATGCATGGACTAGTTTCTCTGCATCGTTTTGAGGCAAGATATGCCTGATTTTTGCAATGTTACGTAGATGGAAGTAGGCGGTCCTTGAAATTGATTTTATGTGGGCGTTAAAGGATAAATCCTGATCAAATATAACACCAAGATTCCTTACAGTCTCACTGGAGGCCAAATTAATGCCATCCATGGTTAATATATCCTTAGATAATTTGTTTCGTAGATTCTTCGGGCCAAGTACAATAACTTCAGTTTTGGTCGTGTTTAACATCAAAAAGTTTAAGGTCATCCACGTTTTTAAGTCCTTAAGGCAGTCTTGAATTTTATTTAGATGATTAATTTCATCAGGCTTGATTGATAAATATAGTTGAGTATCATCCGCATAACAATGAAAATGTACAGAATGATTCCTTATAATATTGCCTAACGGAAGCATATATAATGTGAACAAAATAGGTCCGAGCACTGAGCCCTGTGGCACTCCATGGCTAACTTTGGTTTGCGTGGAAGATTCATCATTGACACGTACAAACTGAGAGCGTTCAGATAGATAGGACCTAAACCAGTCTAAAGCAGTTCCCTGTATGCCAACTAAGTGCTCTAGTCTTTGCAATAAGATATCATGGTCGATAGTATCAAATGCAGCACTGAGATCGAGCAAAACAAGAATAGAGACACGTCCCTTGTCAGAGGCTATTAGAATGTCATTTGTGACTTTAACCAGAGCTGTCTCTGTGCTATGATGTGTTCTAAAGCCAGACTGAAAATCTTCAAATAAATCATTGTTTTTTAAGTAATCACACAGCTGTTTTGCGACCGCTTTCTCAAGAATTTTTGAGAGGAACGGAAGATTGGAAATAGGTCTATAATTGGCTAAAACCTCTGGATCGAGGTTGTGCTTTTTAAGAAGCGGTGTTATCACTGCTACTTTGAATGATTGTGGAACATAGCCTGATAATAAAGACATATTCATAATATTTAATAAATAAGTGCTAATTAATGGAAAAACTTCCTTCAACAGCTTAGTTTGGAATTGGGTCTAACATACACGTTGATGGTTTAGAAGAGAGAATCATTTGAATTTAATTGTTCAAGGTTTATGGCTGAAAAGCATTCTAGTTTACTATCTAGTGTAATATTAGAACTTACGTTTCGGGGAGCTGTTGATAACACTATACTGGTCAAAGGCAAGAGGTCATTAATTTTGTTTCTAAGAGTAACAATTTTATCATTAAAAAGCACATAAAATCATTACTACTGAGTGCTATGGGAATAGAAGGCTCAATTGAGCTGTGGCTTTCTGTCAGCCTGGCTACAGTGCTGAAAAGAAATCTTGCATTATTCTTATTCTCATCTATTAATGAAGAGTAGTAGGCTGCTCTCGCTTTACGCAGTGCTTTCTTATATTCATTGAGAGTAATATGCCAAATTAAACGAGATTCTTCAAGTTTAGTGGAACGCCATATCCTTTCAAGTTGTCTCGACTTTT